AAATCATTAAAAAATAAAATGTCCAAATGTTTTCCCAGAACATTAATTGAAAGTGATTGATGGTATTCATGTCTGATAGTCCTTTCTACTGGCCAACATCGTGCATATGGTAGAATCATGAGACCATAGTTGATCATTTCTTACAAAAAATATGTTGAATTTTATGACAGTTTTTGTTTAATTTGGACTGCCCCATGAATTACTACGAATAGAAGTGTGATTTTTAGAGGAAGATTGAAGGCCACCTATTGTGTAAGTCTACAGCAGTTATACATAATTTAGTAGCTAAGTAAAGACAATTGATGAAAAGAGTGAGGCCTGTAATAAGACATGTTCAGTGTAATTTAAATTGTATAGAAGTCACTGTGGATCTTGGAACAATGGCAACAGCATACATAAGCTGTAGCAGAGACTCTGTTATGAAGTAAAATTATACTTATATTACCTTGATTCCTGGGTTATATATTCTGAACTCTGTGACTTATAGAGCGATGAGGTTTGGCTGTTGTCAGACCAGAGTTTGTAGACTTATTGTTTTGACTGAATTACGTAAGTTTTAGTAGCTATATAGACTGGTGAATGAGTACCGACATGGAAGCTAACGGTTAAGCTGCTTACCTCGTCATCAGCTCAATGTTGGGACCAGTTAAAACAGTCTATGTGCTTTATTTGTTTATCTATGAGCTAAGTACACCATTACAGAAAGAAAACTGGCTGCTTATTTTCAAGAGCGGCTAATATATGGACAACATTGATTTTCTTTTCAAATATTGCTGGTTCAGCTTGTTTGAATACATGTTACTTAATAGTACAGAATATACTGAATGTTATTTTCACATGACAAGTCTATGTCTCACACCATAGAGTCTGGACATTGGAGCCTGTCCCATTCATTCCTGACGACAGTGGAAGCAGATGGGTGCCCATTCACACACAAAATATTTTTAACAGACTCTTCCCCAGAAGTCAAAGGCCACATGGCTCTATATTTAATTTTCTGGGTTGAGCATGTTGTGTAGATGTCGTCACTTTCTCACACACACAGTAAATCCTTTATGCAGAGCAGGAAATGCCAAAGGAACAAAGTCTGCTGGTACAACCCGCAAGCTACAGACTCTGTATTAAACGACAATTTCTCACATTATTATCAGAATGGAGCCAGTGGAAGTCGTTACGCAGCTGTAGCTCAGATAAGCGTTTGAAGTCTCGGTTTTCTTTTGTTGTTTCTGACGTGGCTATGAAACGTTCCCAAGTACAGGCTGCCCATGACAAACAGATGAGGCGTGTGTCTAGGGTTGGAATCATTCAATAAATCGTAATATTATGTTCCTGGCCATATTGTAAAAGAAAAAACAACAATTCTGACAACTACTGAAGGTGCACTGCAGAGCTTTTCTGAAGGGGCTTGGGACTCACTTGTTGCCATCATGCTAATACTTTGCTTGGAATGTACATCAGTATGTTATACATGTAGTACAATATCAGGTTTTACTGCTCAAAACAAAAACTTGAAATTTGTCATTAGAAAGCTTGCCTCTTCGCAAAATATTACCTATAAATTAAAAGTTTGGCTCTGTCCCTTTGTGACATCAATGACATAAATGACAGCGCAAAGCAAAATAACGTCTACATTTTGCAGTTTTTCCATCAAAATCCTTGTAATTTAAATGACATTGCTAGTTGACTAATAAAATGTTTGGCTGACGAAGACAGTGTTTCCCAATTGGGGTATATGGACCCCTAGGGCAACACTGGGATATTTCAGCGGGTAGGGGAAATGACTTTTAAAACGAATCATTCTAAAAATTGAGCCCAAACACAATTCAAAATACCTACATGATTAGAAAATAAAAGTATATAGGACTTATAAACAACTTTCTACAAAATAATGGAGACGATGGTATAACAGTACAGCCTAAAAACAGACAAAATGTTTGACCCCTAGAGAACGAGAACAGGGGTACCGTCTAAATGTCTACACTGGACAGAGGGTACACAAGAATAAATAATCTTGGGAAACTAGTAAGCAGTAAGCTTTTATTTATATACTACTATAAACTATGGACTAATAGACACCCTAGACCGATTAATCAATGAAATGACTAAAGCCCTAGCATGAATCTCCCTGAACAACAACTTTGAGTGAATGTCGAGCGAAAACCACTAAAACATGGACTGTGAAAAGTCGATTTAGCATGTTACGGTTCGTTCAAACATCATATTTCAAAACAGGAAACACTCACTCATGGACTGAACGCAGAAAGAGGCTGCGAATGCATTGTGCTCTAATGTGTAGTGATGTGTCATGGTGCAGCAGTGCCTCAGCTGCCAAAGGCTCTCTGCAGATGTGTAACTTGTTTGTGCGAAGCCGGAGCAGCGACATAGTAAGCCAATATACTGCAGTGAGTCCACAACGCACAGGGAGAGAGCATGGGTGGGTATTTGTGGTTGTGCTGGTATGTGGGTGTATGGGGGTGGTCATTGCTCGGACCGTTGGAAATTCCACACCTTTGAATAACATACAGTAATGGATTAGAAGAAAAAACCACAGTATCTTCTTGTCGATTTGTAATAACGTTGTATGCTTAATTAACAAGTATTGTGCTTATTCATGTTAATGCTGTTGCTTGAAAGCGATGCTGAGAAGATGTACTTTGGCATTTCAAGGTTTTGAGTGTGTAAAAAATGTCTTGAATCCAAATATATATGGATGAACGTGATCTTTAGTAGTCAAACATGCCCAACTAGACGAGGTAGAGGAGGGAAATCAGTAAATACTGTAATTTGACAAGAGAAAGCTAACTTTTGGTTTAAAAGGCTGGAGACTATGACGTATTTATGAAATCATAGAGTAACACGTTTGAGATTGGAGGATTTAGACAGAAGGGGCAGGCAGGGGTCAGACGTTTCAGATAATACTGTGGATGGAGATAAAAATAACTCCTGGTCTATTTTTGACAAGGGAACCTCATGGTAAAAAATAAAATATGGCCTAAATTGTTATGGACTGTTCTGAGTTTACTATATTTTGAAACTTTCTATCCAATGTTCTCTTGCATTAAAAGTAATAGCAGTAGTGACAACAGAGGACATAGGAGCAGTGCTGGTCAAAGTAATTGGATGATGGATATGGAGTGTTGATAGTATTGATTTCACTGCTTTTACCAGAAGATGTCAGCACATAACCTTGGCCTATTTGGATTTTATTTTGCCAAAATCCTCTTGAAGTCACCTCAGACCTGTTCCTCAGCTGCTCTATGGGGAGTCCCCACTTAAGCCTCCCACACTCCGCTCAGGTCAGGTCACGCTCGGAAGAAGTGAAGGAAGAAGTTCCAGAACCAATTGCCCGGGCTTTTGATCCTCAGTGGAAAAACGGATGTTCTTCTTAAAATTGCTGAGGCTATTAACAGGGTTGAGTGACATGTTGGTCTTGTCCAAAACATACATCAAAGGCTAAAGGGTCAGGAATGGAGGGTGAAGCTTGCACCCCAACTCCTCCTCAAACACCCCACTGCACATATGGTAACACTCATCTATGGTATTGACACGTTATCCTAATTAGCTTTCTTCTTTTTCTCCAAGAGGTGGCACAAATGCTCAATCTCACTCTAATTGCAAACTCCAAACCCCAACTCTTGGATGGTGTGTATAATTTCTCAGTAGTAAACACAGCATTTAATGACGATGGATGGATAAGTAGCCTATTTAAGCTCATCTTCCTCAAAACCATTATCGCACACGACTGCTCTAATCCCAGCACCCTCCCACTACGCTACACACTTACGCATTATCCAAACCATGTCAATCTGTCCTCTCCGGCTTTGTCTTCAATGCATCTAAAGCATATTCCTCTGATTATACAAAGATTAACCTTGTTTCTTTATGTTTATAGACAAAAAAGACAACTTTATGATCCCTCAAGTTAGTAGCAAAGCACCTGGTTACTGTGATCACACGACCGTTAAACCATGTCTAGCCACAACAGCATCACATTACAAGCATTTCCTCTATGTAGCACATGTACTTTTAGGGACTGTGTGAATTGTGAATAAACTAAACTAAACTAAACTAAACTCTATAAACATCACATTGTTAAGCACCAAGCTACTTTCTTTACCTTTCCAATCACATGTTGCAGTCCTTGATCTACCAAGTCACAATAACATTATTTATCTAACCCATGTCCAGCAGCGCCCACTAAAATCGTTTAATATACACTGAATAAAAATAGCATACGTTTTGCAGATCATTTACTTCTATATTATATGATTAGGATTTATATTGTGCTGTGTGATCCTAATTCTATACTGTTCTGTAACTGGTAATGCAACACTGAAATTTCCCCACAGTGGGACAAATTACAGATCTCTCTACCTAAATCTTAGGACATAATATATTGCTATTTGGTTGCTTGGCCCTAGGTTATAAAATTTACATTTACAATATAGCATAGTAACTTAAGAATGAAACACATTTTCAAAAGGATTTCAATATGCCTCTAGATGCCATGTCAACCTTTCCAGTTTAAAAAAGGCTGTAAAAACCAATTGGAGCACCTGTCCAATAGTAGTTTGTTACGTGCCAGGATTGACAGCTGCACTTGCATCCTTCCGGTGAAAACAAACAATGACAAAAGGCTGATTAGCTGCAGGAGACTGGCACTTTCAAACCTTTGAGAGAGAGACGCTTTTCCAACTTTTAGTCAGACTTTGGATTGGAATACAAATGCATGGGCCTTCCCACTATCACTGTTGTCTTGCTGTCAATAATTTATAATGGAAAGGATGAGCTTGGAGAAAATTAACATTTCTGGCTATACGAGCAGGACTATCTTTCCCAGATATTCAAATTATTGCAGCGTGGTTTAATTCATTCCCACGCAAACATCTCACAACACAATTATTAAGCTACAAACGGGAAAAGAATTGTCGCAGGTGTAGCCCGAAATTGTGCGTCAAATTCGTGGCACAGGTACAAACAGACTACCTTCCCAGACGTACCTGCTTTGTGCGTTCCTCCTGATAGCGAATCTGCTGGCGTCCTCTGCGGCAAAGCAAGATTTTTTTTTAGAGCCTCCAAGACATATTTACGCAGTTAATAACGCGGTCAGCTGTCCGTCCCCTTTGCCGCATAGTCCCAAATATCCATGTGAGGGTTAAACAAAAAAAACGCGGATATGTTGACGCACGGTTGTTACGCTGCCCTCTCTGTCTCCACGAGTCGCTAAAATGCACGCTCCCCTCTCCATCTATTTCCCCCTCCCTCGTTTTCTTTTTCCTCTTTCCTCAATCTGCTTCCCTGCCTACTACCTACCCGCCTACCCACTGGCCATGCATACGTCTGCTTGGCACGTCCAGAATTACGCAAGGACCACGCGCGCGGAGCTGGAGCGTGCAATAAGAGCGCCTTATCACTGACTAATCTGTAAGGAAATACTGAACAGGCCAAGTTGGTTCCTTGCCAGTGGAGGTGTGACGGGAGGCGTGTGTTGGGAAAAAATAAATACAAATAGTAATAATACAATTGGGATTTGGTGTGCAGTGCGTAGATCCAGTTTGATTTGAATGGTGATGGTTTTGCATATTGGGAGTGTCATGGGAAAATGATGGCAGCTGCTGAAGACAATGATGCAGACAGAACGAACGAAGGCGCATCTTTCTTTGCCCCATGAAACCCAAGCTCCATTCCCACACTGCGTCCTCTATCAGTGTATATGAGAGTCACCCTGAACCAACATGATACTGCTTTTTCTCCTCTTCATCTGCCATCCGGGTCTAGATATCTATAGTATATTATCTGACTGGACTTGTCTCTGCATGCCAGAATAGTCTAACTGGGACACACAGTTCAGTTTCTGTTTAGTGTAATTGTTATAGGTATTAACATGGTCACCACGTTAATTCCTATAATAACCAAGCCTAATAAATAACCAAGGATAACATCTCTAACTTTTGTATAATAAAGAAGCAAGTATACCATCTCTAACTAAAGCATAATAAATTAGTTTTGTCAATTTCTCAGGCACTATTGAGTTCAATACAGTCACATGGCTGGAGTTTGGCAGCCAGTAATTTCCAATTTGGAAAAATATAAAAATTAATAAAAAACAAAGAAATCTCTCTCTAGTGGTAGCACAGGGAATAACATCAGGATTGCATTTTCTATTCTTGACACATATGTTGCTATATATGGTCTATTTAGGATATTTTTTCAACTTCTTATAATAAATATATTGTCAAGAAATAATAAAGAATACATCTCTAACTTTAGTATAATAAAGAAGCAAATATCAATCTCTAATTCTCTATATTTAGAATAATAAAGAAGCAAGTATTCTATTTCTTCTTTCATTTAATATGCAAAGAGGAAAACCCAAGAAGGCAAAAGGTGCGTTGGAAAGCACCAGTTAACTGAAAAAGGAGAACTACCACAGACCGTCTCACTCTTAAAGATGATCTTTTAGTATTTGCACGTTTCAATTAACTGACAGGCATCGCTTCCACTTACAGGTGGATCAAACGTGAATGCAAAAAAGGCACAAAAGATAAAATATTGATCCCACCCTCAATTACAGAGAAGCATTTTCACAACTTCACTTAAAATGTTAGTATTAAAACAACAGACATTTCTGTGTTGTAGAATTTAAAAATTAAACTTTGGTACTGGTAGCATCACTTTATCTTTAATAACTTTTTTAGAGAACACTGTTGTATGATCAGGTGTTAATGTCCATGAACTGCTCTTAAGTCACTTTCATCAGTTCCAAAAATAGTGGCAGCTCAGAGGATTGCCCTAATGCCATTACATTTCACTGATGCAGCAGCGGAAAGGACAGCACAGGTGGGAACGCTCTACAGCGGCTCTGATGTGTAAGCATATTATACACCGATTATGATTCGGATTCTAATAACTGATCACAATCCTCGTGTGAAGACGCGTGCCGTGTACAGGAAGGGAAGGATTAACAGAATCTACTAATCTATGTTTACACCCGAACAGATTTAAATAATAACAGCTTTAGTTTGGGTGATAGAATGTTGTGTTGTCTGGTATGTTCCACTCAATGGCCATAAATACATCACTGGGCTAAGTCACATGTCATATCTGTGGAGAGGGGAGCCGACCCAATGTATGAATAAAGACAATAAAAAATTTACAAGTTTTATAACATACCGATATTTATGACAAGAAATTCCATCAAGTCAACATCAGAGCTACAACTATTAATGGCCACAGGGACTGGTCTCGTGCTGGGGCCCAGAGTCAGGACTAAACATGGGGGGAGGCATCATTTCAGATTTATGCAGCTAAAATCTGGGACAGTCTTTCTGAAAATGTATAACAGGCTTCTTCTCTGATAACCTAATTTGTGCCTCAAACCAAGTGAGATGCTGTTTTAAAGGTATAAGGGAGGATTTTCTACTTCCGGATGGATCATCAAAACCATTGGTCCACCCAATTGTCAATCATTCTTGAGATATGTGCTTGTCAAATGAGACCAGAGAGTCAGGGTTAGGGTTACTCAAATCACAATAGTTACACCGGCCCGAGACCACAAGCTTTGATGTTTGATTGTTTTTTTTTTAAATTTTATTCAACTACTACTATAGATAACCAAATAATACTTAATCTAGATCATATACATCCATGTTTGCTGCTGCTGCTGCTGCTGCTGCTACTACTACTACTACTACTGCTACTACTACTACTACTACTACTACTGCTGCTACTACTACTACTACTACTACTACTACTAGGTACTTTCCCACACCCATAATATAGTTCTATGGTTACAATTTTGTCTTGACATCTTTGAGCAGGAATGCAGGGAATACATGGATCCTTCAGGGCCCTTTGGTAATCTAACACCAGACAGAAATTAACCTTCCACAAAAGCTAAAGAAACGGAACAGGAGACTGGAGGTTTGAGATTGAGATTAAGATGTCTGCACACAAAACAAAATTGTCCACTGTGACTAATCAAATCTCTGCCTCATTATAGGTGTCCAGACAAACATACTGTGCAGACCTCATATCGGTAACACCGGTAAATATAAATAATAGCGGCTTTATTTATTTTTTATTTTTTACCAATGTACAAGCGACAAAAGGTTTTTAAAATTGTTAGTTGAATAGGGCCTTTCTAAGTGGATTTTGCATGTTCTCCCTATATCTGCAAAGGTTTCCTCTGGGCGCTCTGGTTTCACTTACCACTCAAAACATAAATAACATTAATAAAATCCTCCAGCTCTGGTCCAGATTAAGCCCAGCATCAACATCTTTGAAGCGAGGCCATGGTCCTGTGGTGCTTTGAGACTTGGGTGGCAGCTCTGATTGCCAATTTTTACAATTTTTTCCAATATAAATTTAACTTTTTTTGTACAAATATTATTTCGTGATAGCAGATGAAAATAAATCAAATAGCACAATAAATTAGTCAAATAAGTGACATTGACATTAGTTCACAAATGTCAATGTCTTAAGAAACCTTTTTCACAGGAAGTTCACATGTCATAATACAAGGCTTTTGAGTACTGTATTAAAGGGAGGAATTGAGCTCCTACTGTTCCTGTCTGGGCGAGGTGAGTGGGGGGCGGAGTGGAGGTGACACCAACTGGGTCCTGGAGAAACAGTCCTCCAAGAACCTGCTACCTGTGACACACAAGAGAGGACTGAACGTTACCTGGAGGTCAATATACTGTAATCTTGTTTGTTTGTTTATTTATTCATTTCAGGCATTTCACATAAGGCACAAGTCACCTCTTGTCCATCATAGTTTCCATGAAGTATTTCTAACATGCATAAAAATAATAATAATAATCGTTTTTTTTTTTAAAACAGTTGCCTGAAAGATACACAGACAGATACACAAAATCTTTTACGAGTAGTTCGAATTTAAGGTAGTGTGAAGTCTCCAAATCCTCTCAGATTATGGGCTTTTTCCCAAATTGAGAAAAAGTGTAGAAGATTAATAGGTAATCATTTTTCAAAAGCTTTATATAGGATTGTAGTTGTATTGTATTTTACAAGATCATTAAAGTTTAGGGGTGACAGTAGCTCAGTTGGTAGAGCATTGGCCTTCAGGCCTGAAGGTCGTGGGTTCAATTCCCACCTCTACACCTTCTCCACCGACTCCCACTGATGACTGCTGTTGTTGTGTCCTTGGGCAAGACACTTAACCCCACTTTGCCCAAAGCCACCGCTGAAAGATCAAGGCTATGGTCACATAGACAGAGCAGCTGTCCTCCTGTGGACTCACCACCTGCAGAGGGTCAGTGAGGGGCTGACCCCTTTCTTTCCAGAAATGGATTAAAGGGTAGAAAATGGATGGATGGATGGCATTAAAGTTTAATAACTTATACTGGATAAACAATTCATGACTGTGATCTAGAAACCCAACTTTGTGAATGATACGCACTGCTCTTTTCTGCAATAAGACTAATGAGTTAATAGTTCTCTGGTACGTGTTTCCCCACACTTCAACACAATAATTAAAGTAAGTAAGTAATAGTAGTATACTACTATTATATTTATATACCGCCTTTCACAGACCAGTCACAAAGTAATTTTTTTGGGCATTTGTCTCTCACTCCCATAGACTGTAAATATAAACGGATGTAGTCACGCCTATCTCCGCCGTTCTCACTAATGGGCCAAAAATTGGGCTTTCATGGAGTGATTCAAAATGGCCGCGGGAGCTGGAAAAGGTGAAAAAACGCATCTGTGCATGCGTCAGCCGGCACAAGCCCCATTCATTTAAACGAGTGCATTCAAAAATTCACAGCGTGTAAACTAGAGTGGTCCAAAAAAATTCACTCCCTTCAGCATTGACACACATGTGGAATGGAGCTTTGGGCCAAGAGCCGACTTTTGGACCATCCTGTAAAGACGTTTTCGAGAGGTAAGAAGATGATAAGTGTTAGCATTGGCTAATTCTTATTCCGGGTCCACCCCCATCGGCCCGGGGTGGAAATGCAAGCATGTCAGCGCACGTCATTTTTGCCACTTTTGAGCCGGGACCCGCCCCCACTGCTCACTCCACAGAGAGATGTGGGAGTGGGGTCGCCAGAACAGGAGGCCCATTCCAGACCTATTGTACATGTTTTTAGTGGAAGGGGAAACCGGAATACCCGGAGGAAACCTACGCAGAAACGGGGAGAACATGCAAACTCCACTGAGATAAGCCCTGGTCCGACCGGTATTCGACCAGGACCTTCTTCCTGAGAGGCGAGAGTGCAACCCACTCAGCCACCGTGCCGCCCACGGTAAGTATGGGAGTACCAACGTGCAGTATAATGTACGGAGTACATAAAAACAATCTTTGTATATGTAACAAAGGAAACATGCAAAGGTCCTTTAGAGACTTTTAGAAGCCACACATTGTATTCATAAGGTTTTAAAACTCAACTTCTTCCGAATTTCAAACACAGGGTTCTTCAGCATTTGAAAATTAAAAAGGGTACTTTATTTAATACAAAACAGGCAACCACTACAGGAAACTACTGGGAAAAATCCCATTTTAGTAGTAAAAATTAAAGTCATGTTCACAATTTATTATAATTACTTCATCAGAATGATCATTGAAACAAAGTTTAGGTTCGTGGTAGGTACTTTCTAGTTTCAGTACATGAGATTTTAACGCTCTCAACGCTCTCCTCATGCTGAACTGCATCACCTGAACAGATGACAGGAGATTTTGCTTTCATGTATCCATTCATAAAAAGTACCACAGATCTTAAATAGTTGAAACATTTTATGGCAATGGTCAAAGTTAAAATCACCAGACAGACAAATCTGCCTAAATGCTGTATCAACAAAATCCACTTTGAGATAAGAAAGAGCATTTCTGTATTTAATAACTGACTGATCAGAGTTGTCTTACTATGGTGTTGTGATTTACTAATCATTGCATGCATCATACTTAGATGCTCAGATAGTCCTGACCAAGCCGAGCATCTGGAGATGGATCCATGTGGTCCCGCTGTGACAACTGCTCCCCATAGAATGGGTCAAATGCAGAGGACAGATTAAGTATACCGTATCCTCTCTATCCCAAAAGATATTTATTTGATGGACAGTGCATTAATCAATAGTAATGTAACCGAGAAGGTCTAGATATTGAAAAAGGTATAGCTCTGGGAGCACAAACGAGAGACTCTTTTCCAACTGCAGCCGTAACAGCGGCTCTGGCTTTATTATTCACATGCAAATCATAACAGCATAACCAACACTACATAAATTAGCACATACGACTCTGAGGACTATATTTTCAAGATTACATTGCTGCTGTATATAAATGTGGTTAAGATTTGGCACTTAGACCATGGCAGAGTACTGAACAATTGCTGACGGGGAAAAATATTATGAGAAGATATTCCCCCAGAAAGGCCTGGGACAAGGCAGAGATGGGGAGGAGGAGGGTTGCGCTGTGAATTAAGCTGCTGGTTGGACGCTCGAAGCTTCCATGCTCGATTTAGCTTCAGCTGCTTTTGACAAAACATCCAAATTAAATGTGATGGAGCTTGAGTTGTTGAATTTGAAAATAATAATACAGTCTATCTTTTTCAAGCCTTACGGTGCATTTGTTATAACAAAAATAATGGCATTACAAACTTTGCATTTGGGATGTGGAAAGACCACTTTTTAAGTCACTGTTATGCAATACACACACACACACACACACATACATACACACATAGACCAAAAGCACTTGCACCACTTCTTTTTTTAGCTAGCTTGACCTCCAGTGCTGTCCTGCACAGCCCTGAAGCTGAGCCATGGTTCTTGTCCTGCTTGAGTGGAGTGTGCATAAAGGCTGACTCATATGTGCATTATCACACATGGCTGGCTGCACTGAGCCACAAATAACCTTCGATGAAGACATGAAAACAGCTGAGGCAACGGCACACACTCCCCCGAAAAGAAGAGGTCACAGGAATATGCAGCAGACGTGCATCAATCTACTGGTGAAATATACCTCACAAAAATGAATTATTGAAGAATTTCCTCTCACAAAAAACATAAAAAATAAAGTATACCAAACAACAATGCCTACAACTAAAAGTGCTATGAAAAAACACATTATTTTCTGTGTTTTTAACTTTTTAAGCTTTTTTCTTTTCACATAGAAGCAAAAACACCTTCCTGCTTAAACAAAATGTCTTGTATAGTAGATGCATAATGTTAACATAATGTTACGGGAAGGGAAGCAGACAAAGTTCTTGATAAAAATAAACAAGGAACTGCATGACAATTATCTTGCACTTTTCACGAGAGGTCTGAATAAATTACTTGAGTGCACACTGCCATCTAGTGGAAATAAATCATTTTCTTTTATTATTGCTGATTTAAAATAAATCAGACAGTTCATTAAAAGCTTGATCCAGATTGATATGATACGTCTTCATTTCACAGATGGTTTCGTCTTCTTGGACACTGGTCTTTTTCTTTTTACATTTTGTTTTATAATCTTTTTCTGAACAGTTACATCTTCTTCACATTTGATCTCCCTTTTTATCGTCTTTGTGACAGGCGTTGACTTGAGATTTTGAAATTTCTTGAGGTCAGAACAAAACAGCACCTTAAATATTTGAGGGGAAATTATTGTTTTAGTAATCAATATAAAAACAATAAGATTATTGTGAACTGTACTCACTGATTGTGCCCATCCAGCATACGGACCCCACAGTTTTCTGAAGAAATCACCTGTATCAAATCAACATGATATTAAAGCTGTTTCATTAACATTAAATCTTGTTTGTCCCAACAGAAATTGTCATGTAAAGGTAAAATGTTTCACTTTTCTGTCAGAAAAAGCTGAAAACTAGAGATACAATCTTTTTTGTGAATTAAGATAGAAAAGATAAGTAACCTTTTGTGTTTTGAAATTAGGGGAAGTTATGCATATTCAAATCACACCAACCAATGTCTCTGTGAAGTTTGTCTGTAATGGTCTTCTGTCCGTGACTAGAAACAAACTTATAATCACGCGTTGCGATCTGCCAAACATGTGTGTCAATGGGAACAGCTTCGTGCTTATCCAGAGCCATCAGACACACACAGTCTGCCACCTGCAAATAAACATGTAGCATTTATATAATGTATACAAAACGATTCAATGACTTCTCATGTTTTATACCTTAGTTCCCACTCCAGAGAGAGTTCGAAGAGCATCGCGGGCCTCGTGATACGGGACATTTCTGAGTGAGCTAAGCCAATGAGGTCCATGTGAGTCAAGAATCGTCTTAGCACTTTGCAGCAAGAACTTGGCTCTATATCCAAAACCAAGATCCCTTAAACAAGCCTCTACACTGGGCTCTGTAACAACACATTTTGAACATATTTGAGAATTAATTTTTGCATAAGTAATTGTAAATCATATTTAAAATGACAGAACAATATTCAAGGTAGCACTCAGGTTGGTTAATTTAACTTTGAGACATTTGGAGGACTTTATGATGCTGTATAGGGAAATGTAATGCCACTATCGCCAGGATGGGAATTATGTGGCTCAGTTCTCTGCAATAATACACATCCTCCTTATCTTATTCAACAGATAAATCTCACATTCACAAAAAAACAATTACATTCAAAAACTGTCCCACGGCCTGAAAAGTACATTTTAATTTTCTATGACTATACGAACCACTCGTATTATATTTACACGGTCAATTACTGACCAAGCACCGAAATTGACAAAAAATATCCTGAAAGATAGAAAAAGGGGAAAAAAAAGGCATTTACACACATATAAGCACAGTTCAGCTTGAGAATTGCAAAAAGTGGCTATGTTGGAAGACTTTTCAGACCTCATCATAGTTTTTCTTAAATAGCATTAGCCCATCCCAAGACATTCATTATTTCAATTGGATCTTGGGGAAAACTATAATGAAACTATTGAATACCTTTTTAAGATTTTATAACCTTGAATGTGAAACCCTGATATTGATACAGACTTAGGGTTATATTATGCAAACTTGTGCAAAGTACAATAGCGGTTGCAGTTTTTGTGGTTATCTCTATCTGCACCTGCTAGAGTTGAGAGGGAGGGAAAGTCGTGGTAAAAGGTTTCATCCAGTTGACACAGCTTGTTGCCCAGTCTTTGGCACAGCCGCTCCACCATCCCTTGAATCCGAGAAATGTGGTTATTGGACGAACAGATAAACGAGAACAAGCATTCAATTGGGTCCTGCCGGATCATTCGCACGCCTGCAAAATAAAGTTTGAGAATAATACCCCATACGCTCCATTCTCATGTAATAATTAGCATATAAACTAACCTGAAAATGTGTCAGCAAGCGTTTTAAAATGGGGATCTCTCTCTCCCCAGTCTTTGTACAATTCCTCAACATTTATATGGAGCTGAAAATAGTCCCTCAGAAGCTTCTCCTCCTCTGTGTCAGCATTTTCTTCAACCTTTACATCCACTTTATATTTGGTTTCAGGTCCACAATCTCCTTCTGTCCACTTTCTGTGAGTCGAGTCTTGTTGGCTGTCATAAACATAGTACCATAATCTGTTGTCCAGTTGAGTTAAAGTCCAAACTCTTCCTCCCATCACTCCAGTCCAGTGGCCCTCAGCGGTCTCTCTCCAGCTGTAAGAGAGGAGAGCATTACATTAATACAGTAAAGTAAAGTAAAGTAAAGTAATCATCATTGTTGCTCAGTAAACAAACAAATCATTAACATTTGGAGATAATCCGGAACACCATCTAGATCCAGGAATAAGTTGTGTTCCTATTTTTTAACTTTTTCCAACCATATTATTCTTATAGTTGATAAAGTCTTTCCTACTGGCTAACATCATGCATATGTTTTTTGAGTATTGTCATAAAGACTAAACGTCTAGTCTTCAGGAGAAAATTACACCATTGATGATCAGCTTTTTTGTTATGGATTAGACCAGGAAAGACAGTTAAATTAGCTCTTGTGATGTCACACAAGACATGGCACTCAACCTATGCGAGTGCTGAAAACATGCCTTCTTTGGAAACCTGCTCTAATACCTGCTACTCAAAAGAAAAGTGAAAGTAAAACAGTCGCGTTCTTGCATTATATTGTAGCCTATTTCGTCATTTTGTGCAACTTACCGAAAAGTCTGTCCACAGGCGAGGGTAAACTCCAATCGTAGCTCAGACCTCGCCAGTTCAAGAGACCTCCACATGTGTCTACCCACTACATTCATTATGAGGCGTTCTATGCTACTGCAACCTTCCAAACGTGGTATAGTAGCACTAGCATGTATCACAACAAAGCATGCTAGAAAGCTAACCTGTACTTATTACCACGTTATAGCACGGTACAAACGGAGAAAAGAGTGACTACTTGTTTCCTTTTTGTCGTAGTGTTGATATAAGCAGCTCAATTAGACATATATAATATTAAATAATATTGTTTAAAGTTGTACATGACGCAATTACGGCAATCTATTGCAGTCTAAATCATTGGTTAATATTTAGCTAAAGCAAAACTAAAAAGGTTCTTCAAAATCTGATGCAATTTTGCTCAGGCATCCGGATCCCGCCCATTCGGATGTCAACACAGACGCTGATTGGCTACGTCGCTTTACGCTCTTTCTATGATTGGCTACTATTGCTGTATGTCAAAATTGTCAAAGTTATTCAGGAAGTGGACTGTGCTCCTTCTCTCCGGTAAAGCCGTGTGTGGTAGTGGCGTGTCTGGCACAGAGAAAGCCGGTAAATACGGTGGAAAATGGCAGATGCTTTAACGCTTTTCACGTCCATTGGACTGAGTGAGCAGAAGGCGAAGGAAACTTTGAAGAACGAGGCACTGAGTGGAGCTCTCAAAGACGCCATTGGTCAGGTAAGGGACCCGTGTGTGAGGCATGGATCTATGGGTGTGAGGAGTGAAGTGGACGTGGACAGCTGCGGTGAGGCGTGACTGCAGCCCCTCACAGTTGAAATAGTTTACTTTGTTCACTGGTCTGGTGTGATATTTACTTTTTACGCTAAATTTGCAATACATTAGCAGCCACACTTATTTTATTATCTGAATTCTAACCTAGTTACCAGAACAGTTCCCAATAAGTCCACAAAGTATTTCCTTTCAGCAGAAAAAAATATAACTGTACAATACCATAGTGATTCACTGTTTTTATGTCACTGTCACTTGGTACTTTCAGTTTCCGTGAAATCCTGCAGGGGATTTTTGACCATTAAAGTTGCGTACTGTTGCAGTGAATAAGTAGTAATAGTTCAAATATTCTAATCTTTAAGCCAAAAAACCACCAACAAACCAAGTGCAGCTTTGCCCAGCTAGATTTAAAATATATGTAATTAGCATAAGCATTATTAACTTGTAATAATCACATAATCATTTCATTTTTAGGCACAAAAGGCACATGGAGGGTCTGTGGACAAAGCTATAGGGATTCTCCTCTACAGCATGGCCTCTCGTCTCAAAGACACAAAACGCCTGTCATTCCTCACCGAAATGATTGCTCATCGTAGGATCACGACAGAGCTGCAGCTGGCAGGTAAGAGGACTTTTTCCAAGTTGAAATGTGTATTGTGTGGTATTGACATTCTTGCAATATACATTATTTGACATAAAATATGAACCATTTCCTGAACCAGAAAATCTAGAGCACAACTCAGACCTGTGCAAGTACTAGACCTGTAGTCCTGCTAACATTCCTCATCTCCTTCATGTTTACAGCGGCGTTGGAATTTGTGAAGAGCAACCCCAAAGATCCAATTAACCAGAAGCAATTTGAAGAGGATTGTGGATTGGGCGTGATCATAACACCAGAGCAAATCGAAGAAGCAGTATGTAAATGTATTCTTTATGAAGTCACTTTGGGGAGATGACATGGCTTATTGAAAATGTAATTATTATTTACAGGTGGAATCTGTTATTAAGAAGCACAAAGAACAGCTGTTGAAGGATAGGTACCGCTTCAATATGGGACTGTTAATGGGTAAGAGAAAAGTCTAGTCCCAATTACTTATCAAAATGATAAAACAATTGTGTTAATTCCACTTTGTAACTTTAAAGCGTAATTGAATACTGAAAAAGGTATAAAGCATGTAAAATACACAACAAGTTTCCGAATATTTTACCATCATAAGTTGTTTTATTTTTTTACATAAACAGAGAAGTAGCAACATAAACATTTATGTACTGAAATCCAACCAAACAAAGAATTAACTATAGAATAGAAAAGGAATAAAAACGTCACATAGTATCTTGTTTAGTGTGAATTACAGTGTGGATGTTTGTTTAAGTGCTGAATTTTATTTAATAGGGTTGATAAGTGCAGGCACAATAAGTTCTGTGCCTGGTCATGCACAGACCATGTAATTTATGTTGTTTGTTTTGATCTAAACTAGAAAGACCGTAATTAACCAAACGACGATAAATGAATTTAAAAATACTGAAAGATTGGAGATGTGGTTCTCCAACTACCATAATATGTATTTGTTATTTAAGCAAGAAGGGGAGAATAATAAGTTATAATAATAAGTTCTCACCTTTTTGAATAAGAGATATAAGCGGAATTGGTGTCTTTAACTAAATTCACAATGTGTTATTTCAGGTGATGCTCGCTCTGCTCTTAAATGGGCAGATGGAAAAGTAATCAAAAACGAAGTGGATATGCAGGTAGGTTAAATAATTGTAAACTGGCTTATTCATTAAATCGCACAATAATAAAATGTTTCTGTAGGTGCTCCATCTCCTCGGACCCAAGACCGAATCTGACCTTGAGAAGAAACCCAAGGTAAAAGAATTATACAGAAATGTAATATTTCACATGGTTCAGAATCTAATGTAAGGACGATTTTCTAGGCTCCTAAAGCAAAAGCTGACAATGATGTGAAAGTAAAGAAAGAGGAAGCCTCTGTAAATGGTAAGGAGAAAAGAAAAAGTGAACGTTATATTGATATTAAAGTTATGCGTTTTTGCTTTTATCAGGTGATGCAGCATTTGAAGGGAAATCTCTAATGGAGCAGCTGAGAGGAGAAGCCCTAAAGTTCCATAAACCAGGTTAAGATCAATATTAGTCACATACATAAAAAAAAAAAAAAAAATCTTACAATGATCCATTTCACAGGCGAGAACTTCACAACTGAGGGTTACGTGGTTACTCCAAACACGATGGAACTTTTGAAAAAACATCTGGAATTTACAAAAGGACAGGTTAGTGGGCATCTAAGCCAGAAAATGTTCATAAAATTAAGTTAACGTGGCCATATAAGATCAATATCAATAGCATTCTTGATTTCTGTTTAGATTCGAACCCGTTTTCCACCAGAGCCCAATGGCATTCTTCATATTGGGCACGCTAAAGCCATCAACTTTAATTTTGGGTATGCCAAGGTCTGTACGTTCTCCTTATTTTCCTGTTGACTTAAATAAGTTACTGTCATGACAATCCTATATATTTTTACTTTTTTTTTTTGTACAGGCGAACAGTGGAATCTGCTTCTTAAGATATGATGACACAAATCCAGAAAAAGAAGAGGAAAAATACTTCACTGCTATAAAGGACATGGTTGAATGGCTCGGTATGTTTGTGTATATAGTATTTTATCTGTTCCTTATTGAATAACAAAATAAAGTTATTTAAATCATGCGTCAAAAGACATTGGTACTAAATATATACTGTACATTGCCTGAAGTCTTGCAGGTTTCAAAATCTCTGATCATCGATCCAATAGTCCTAAGGTCTTACATTTTACTTGATCAAACCTAAGGCCTAAATAATTGCTAACCCTGTAAAAACATTGTAAATTACATCGCCTTGTTGTCATGCAGTTAGAGATTATGTGTAAATCAGTGGAGGTATATGTCAAACAATTGCTTTGCAAGTGATTTGAAATATTCTTTTTTTTGTTTCATAGGCTACAAACCATATGCAGTAACCCACGCTTCCGACAACTTCCAGAAACTATATGATCTTGCGGTGGAGTTAATACGTCGGTTGGTGTCTTCTCCATTAATGTTTTCTGGCCCACTTTTGACTCGCTGTTTAAACTACTTTTCTTTGACCACATCAGAGGCCATGCGTATATCTGCCATCAGAAGGGCGAGGAGCTGAAGGGTCACAACCCACCCCCCTCTCCGTGGCGGGATCGTCCCATTGAAGAATCACTGGTTTTGTTTGAGCGAATGAAGAAAGGGCTGTTTGCAGAAGGAGAGGCGACACTTCGGATGAAAATGGTGATGGAGGACGGAAAGTCGGACCCAGTCGCCTACAGGATAAAATACACGCCACATCACAGGACCGGAGACGAATGGTAGGGTCTATGTGGTTGTTTGTTTTCGGTTCTGTTCAATGTGACATCATTAACAAGAGTCTACAGGTGGAAGGTAGCTGTAAAATCTATGGCACAGTAATAATATGGTAACTGTCTGTACCTCCTGGGCCAAAAAGTTCCACTTTTTTTTTTTGTCAGTACATATCAACTATCATCTAATTATTTTAGCTTGTAGCAATGACAATATTCTATATGTGTATGCATGATCTTGGCCAGAAGAATTTGAATATTATAAGAAGTTTGGGAATTTAATCACTATCAAATAAAGATTTCTTCCAAAAATTGTTTCTTTCCCTCACAGTTGTATTAACATCTCCCGTCCAACTGAAATAGAAATCTTAAGTTGCAACATGAACATAACCTAATAGTTGTTCATTTATACTTGGTTCAGGCTCTCAATCTGTGACAGGCTTTTACTTTCTAGTTAACTTACTCACAATATTAAAAAATGCTGCGCCAAATGAAATTATATATTACAGCGTGAATTGTTCTTTCTCCGTGTTCACCTATTCATTTACATACTCAATGTTTGCTGAATTTCTTACTGAACCGGTAAAACAAGGATTTATCTGTGGTCTGAGCAGAGCCTGCAGGGTATTTGATGTAGCCCACTGGTGTCATGTAAAGGGAAAGGTGCTAAGCAGGTGGACTATTTGAGAATTACTATGTACTTAATTTATTATATTGAGCCACTATCTGCGCACAAACACCCACGTTATGATTTCTTGAATACATTTCTCTCTCTTCCAGGTGCATCTATCCCACATATGACTACACTCATTGTCTGTGTGATTCCATTGAAAACATCACACACTCTCTCTGTACCAAAGAGTTTCAAGCAAGGTTTGTATTTCTTTGTATTGTGAGAATATTCCTCAGGGAAAGAAGAAACTAACTGCTTATTTATTCTGCCAGACGATCGTCCTACTACTGGTTGTGCAATGCCCTGGATGTGTACTGCCCTGTGCAGTGGGAATACGGCCGTCTGAACCTCACCTACACTGTTGTGTCCAAGAGGAAAATCATTAAGCTTGTGGAAACTGGAGTGGTCAGGTAAAATGTCATTGTATTCAAGTTACTTTTTAGTGTACACCGGTATTGGTATCTAATATTAGTGCCAATGTACAACTATTTGTTTGATTGAGTAATTATGTGCAGTTGTTCTTTAGGTAATCACAGGATCATTGACTGATAAAACACATTTGTTGTATGTAAATTAGCTGTGATTTCAAACTTATTAGTTTAATGATTAAGGTAAAATAACTACTATAAAACAGGTGGTCTAATATTTACTTCATCAAAAGCCTAGCACAAGCATAGACAAACAGAACAGAACATGTAATAATATTTTATACTTTATATTTTATCCCACTTGTAGAGACTGGGATGATCCTCGTCTCTTCACTTTGACAGCGCTGAGACGACGGGGTTTCCCAGCAGAGGCGATCAACAACTTCTGTGCACGAGTACGTTATTAACCACATTTTTTATATCAACCACATTATCACCTGGGAATTGTTTAACACGCCAGTCTAATAGAGATAAGTCTTAACCCGTACACACATAATTCAGATTTGTGTATCTTGTATATCTTTCTTCCCATAGGTTGGAGTCACCGTTTCTCAGACGACCACAGAGCCGCACCTCTTGGAGTCTTGTGTGAGAGAAGTGTTGAATGAAGCTGCTCCTCGGGTGATGGCCGTGCTCGAGCCACTCAAAGTCACCATCACTAACCTGCCAGAGGATTTTAGGGTTTGTTCATTTTGGAATAAGAATTTGTATTTGTCTCAGTGGGTAAATTCCTGTGTTGCGACACAATAATAAGCAGTGGGAATAGTAATCACGCAAACATGAAGAAAAGGAAGCACTTGTAGTAGTCTAGGAAATGCAAAGGTCTATCAAGAAAAGTGTGTGCAGTTGTTAAAGTTATGGGGTCGCAAAATTATGGGGAAATTGCAATTTTAGTGGTCACAATTGGTAAATCAAAAAAAGTGAAAACAAATTCATACAAAACCAGTCTGAATCAATCAATCAACTTTTATCTGTAGAGCGCCTTTCCTACATAAGGCAACACAAAGTGCCTCACATCACAGCATAAATAATACACATAAAAATCTACATAAACATGAAATACAATTGAAACATTAAGATGACAAGAAATATTAAAAATATAAAAAAATCTCACAAGTAATAAAAAACATTAAAATCACATTGGGGGGGGAAACATTTAAGTAAATCTTTCCATGTGAGAAATGGCTCGTCTTTATTATACTGGGGATAAAACAACATGTTGTGCTTGTTACATTGGCAATAATTCTTGAGTAAAGTATTTACTATTTATTATTAATATTATCTATATCTCATGTCTTCTTCCTTCATAGTTGGACGTAACTGTTCCAGACTTTCCTGCAAACGAGGCCAGAGGCAGCCACAAAGTTCCCTTCACGAGAACTGTCTACATCGAGCAGAGCGACTTCCGAGAGGTCAGTGAGAAGGACATTTAAGACGTTCACACAAGATTGGACGTTTAGGTTTATTGAACTTGATTTTGCAGGTGATGGAGAAGGGATACAAACGTTTAACACCAGAACAACCAGTTGGCCTAAGACATGCAGGGTACATCATAAATACTCAGAAGGTTATCAAGGTAAGACTCTATTGAACGTCAAATGACTCTGCAAGCAGGACTTTTAATAACAGTAACCAAATATATTTAGTCTCAGTCTCATTCCCACTGAGCAAAAACGGTAGTTCATTTCCAATTGGGGAGTAACAGAATACATGTTATCTCACTACGTATTCAGAGTACTATTTCTAACTGTATTTCTTTGCAGTTATTACTTTAGAGTCTAGTATTTAGAAAACAGTTACTTTCTGAAAATCACAGGAATACATATTTTCTCAGATTAGGTTCTAAGGTAAAAAAAAACGTCGGGTATTTTTAAAGTGAATATTATATTTTTCTGGTTGTTTAAATGGCAGTTGTTCAAGAACTTTGACTTGTTTTTTAGAAAAAAAGTACTCAATTTCATGTTTTATTTATTTAAAATTGTATTGAGGTTGTGGTTTTAATTATTTTGAAAAGTACCTTTTATGAGTTTGGTAAATAAACATAAGTTTATATTAAACATAAATAATACACAATTAATAGTATAAGTGTGTATCTCACAAAAGGGCACATACATTTCTCCAATGTGAATGATTTGCTCTAAAAAAACATCTTTCGACAAAGGAAAAAAAACTATAACATGGTCAAAAGAAGTATGTTATGTCCCCTTTAAAAACAGAGCTTTCTGTATTTCTTGTTGCTTTGCTCTCAGGATGCGCAGGGAAATGTGGTTGAGCTGGAGGTGACCTGCTCGAGTTCGGTTTCAGCGGAGGCAAATCAAAAACCAAAAGCGTTCATTCACTGGGTCAGCGAGCCCTTGACTTGTGAAGTGCGGCTCTACGAGAGACTGTAAGCTTTCTTTAATGTAGGATGTAGTGCAGTTTAAACATGTTTCTGAGCGTATTTGGTTCTTTTGTTGTTGCAGGTTTTTGCATAAGCATCCTGAAGATAGTTCTGAGGTACCTGGCGGTTTCCTGACTGACATTAACCCTGTGAGTCCTAGTCATTTTTTAACGTTTTACTTATTTAAACTTTGTATTGGTTATTTTCATACATTATGTTGTTTGCTTGTCTTGTTTTAGTAACATGTTTTGGTCTCTGATACATGCAAATATATTTATCTGTGTTGTAAATATCCTATCCTAATGTCAATAAAGTTGAATCTAATCTAATACTGTGAACAAAACAAACTACAACAATTAACAAAATTGCATCTTTTGCATACTGAGAGATGATTGGCTGAGTGAAGGTTGATGCTTTTTTATTCGTATGAAAACTATTGATAGACTGAAACTGTTTTAGAGCCAAGAACTAGAAGATGAAAGTGCTAAAGCTGGTACACCTAATTTCCAAAGCAGAAAAGGAATAACTTCATCATAAAAGCCAATTACTAACATTGTTATTTGTTTTGTTTCCATCAGAACTCCCTGCAGACTATTAGCAGTGCCTTCTTAGATACATCAGTGAAAGGAGCCAAAGTGTTTGACAAATTTCAGTTTGAGAGGGTTGGGTATTTCTCACTTGATCCTGACAGCACATCAGACAAGGTACAGTAAACAAACTTTCTGACATTTAATACATGGTCGATAAGACATGTCTCATTGATTTTATATGCTGTAACTCTAGAGGCTTTGGAGTCACTTCTGTCTTGCCAGTCTCTAAGGGTTTAGTATAACAGTTACAGACAAAATGCTGAATTAATTAGTAATTTTCTTTTCCTGCAGCTCGTCTTCAACAGAACAGTTACTCTAAAAGAAGATCCAGGAAAGATATGAGTAAAGAAGCTTCGTGCCTCAGACTTCCCCGAGCAAATTGTTAACATAAAGTTTGTTAGATCCTTAACATCAGACCACTGTGTCTGAATATGCAGGGTTTTTTAAATAAATTATGCTGTTAACTCACATTGGTATTGATGCCTTTGAATAATATTATGTTTAAAACTATTTTTGGTTACAAAATGTTTCTGTATTATACAAGCTATGTACCTTTTTTATATGTATGTGAAAATAACTTTTTCTAAGACCATCTGGCTTTCACATTAGTATTAAGTGGTATGAAGAGATCAAAATTGTGCATTATTATCATTTTAATCTACAATTACAAAAATGCTGCAATAATTAACTTCCAAAATTGAATTCTTGCGCAAAAATTAGCGCAGTTTACGTAGAACATATAATACAAAGTGAGACTCAACTTTTAGAGCGACCTCCTTGATAACATCTTGTGAAGTCTATTTTTGGGACCACCTTAAAAGAATCAGAAGTCTACGGGCCACTAGGAGCGTTTGCCTTGTAGAAGTGTGTTTTAAGGTGGAATGGCATCTACACTTTTTACTTTGCTGTTCGCCTTTGAACGTCGCCTTTAATCAGCCACAAAGTATCGCGGTGTTTGGCCCTGAAAATCCCGCGATAGCATAAATGAGTTGCAGATCGTTCTCTGATTGGTCCATGGACATTGTTGTAAGATGGCGCCCAGAGAAATACGAAGCTATGATCAATAAAATACATGCACTAATCTTAAAATTACGAATGGAAATACAGCAGTCACACAGTGAAAGCCCTCGAAACCAGCCCGCGGACTCTCTGGGGAAGAAGCGGAACTCCTGAGGACAGAAAAGTAACTAGTCGCACAGTAAAAGAGGTAGCTGAGCTCTCTGACATGCTAACCATAGCCCAGTATCAAATGCATCACACCAAGGTGTCCATCTATTAGCGGTTCATCTTTCATCTTCTTTTACTATAGTTAAAATACATGGATGGCCGATTCTCAAACCTGTATGTTTTGGGTCATAATTGTTTATAATGACATCAGCACGAGGATTGTTAGCCTTTGAACGAAGAGCAGCTAACATTAGTAATCGCAGCTGAAGATGAACTATTATGAAGTAACTCTCTTAAGTCTGTTTTCATACGTGTTATTCACCACACACCCGGGTCACTTATGGGTTGTGTTGGGGATTTGGAAATAGACCGCGCTTTGTCTCCGCTCATCCTCACGGGTTGAGTTAACCCTTTCCTATTTCTTCTACTGGAGCTGCAGCCACTGCGCCTGTCACATCTGTCGGATCAGCACTACACGATAATCTACTCTATAACTTACTTAAAAGTAGCAAATGAACATGAAGCTGAATTCAAGTGCTTAAAAACAACTGCAACAGAGAATGCATTCCGCTATTTACTTTTTCTTAGGCAAAATAGTGCTTGGCATGCAGGGCAATTTGATCTGTATAGCACATTCCTAAAACAATGCAATACCATATAGACCTTTCCGTATACAGAGTAAAATGTTAAATTACATACATGATCCTAAATTGGACTTGAGGTACTGGAGTTACTCTACATTAAATTCTAATATGTTTTATCTTCTGTCTTTTCCAGTTGCTGTATATTGCTTACGAGTGATGAATAACTCTCTCGATGGCACAGGCTCCTATGAGGAGCTGGTTCGACAGAAGGCTCGTAGCATCCCTCAACATCGCATGAAGGAGTTCCTGGAGTCTTTGGCCAATAAGGGTCCTGATGCCCTGCAGGAGTTCACCCAGCACAGTGATGTTGCTACTACAACCACTATGGTGTATCAACAAGACACTAACTGCATTTACACAGACAGTACAGAGGTTGCTGGTTCACTTCTTGAACTGGCTTGCCCGGTAAATATATATAACCCAATATCATATTCATGTGATGTTTATAATATTGTACATATATATCCTGCATGTAATATGTTTGCACATTTCCTCCTTTTGCACAATCTGAGTGTCTCTATCCATGCCAAATGTGACATGTAAATTTCTCCTCTGTGAGATAAATAAAGCTTATCTTATCTTAATGTGATTTACTTTTGCTGTTTAAGGTGCAAGTTCAAGTCCAGTCACAGCAGCAGCAAATACAAGAGGTAACTTCACAACAACAGAATGTCCAAGTCCAGGGCACAGAGCAGATTGTACAGGTAAGTGAGAAGACTACAAACATAATCCAGAATGCTGATTCCACCTAATACTCAATCCATGACTCAATGTAATTACACAGGTACAGATAGCCCAACAACAGGGTCAGATGCTGGGTCAGGTTCTTCAAGTTCCCACTGGTTCCCACCAACAGCTTCAAGGTTTTACAACGGCACAGCTGATTCAACCTGGGGAGCTCACAGAGGAACAGCACCAACAGGTTGGTGGAACCATAACCATTTCTATAAGTACTTGCTATCAAGTAGAGGAGAGATTGTTCATTCAAATGTCTTCCAAACACTTTTATATATTTTAATATGCTATTATGTTATTCAGCTCCAAGCTCAGCTAGCAGCTGCTGTAGCAGGAGGCCAGCAGATTCAGATACAAACTGTTGGAGCTTTGTCTCCAACTCAACAGGACAATGATCGGAGGATACTGGGAACAACTGTTGCCACATCTCAAGGAGCTGGTGTTTTACAGCCTGCAAAGAAGCGCAAAGTGGACATGCCGATCACAGTGTCTTATGCTCTGCCTGGTCAGCAGGTAGCCACAGTACTGGCCATCCCTCAAGGCCAAGGTCAGCAGCAGAGTTACGTGTCCCTGCGCCCGGACCTCTTAACGGTAGATAGTTCCCATCTGTACAGTGCAACCGGAACTATCACTAGTCCCACTGGTGAAACCTGGACAATCCCTGTTTATTCAGCTCCCGCTGGCTCCGGTCGGGAACAGGTCACACACATAGCCATTCCCCAAGAAGCTTATGGAGCAGTGCAGGTAGCTGGAGCCAATACAACAACCATGACAACGATGCCCACACAAGTCACGGTTGACCATGACAAACTAAAAAACAGTATAATTCAGACAAGTACAGCGCAGGCTGTTTCCAGCATTACTAACTCTGTTGGGATGGCATCGCAAGAGGAAGTAGTGCATACGCTGGCTGCAAACACATTATTCCCTGCGCAGCTCATGAATGGGAACATCCACATCCCAGTGGCAGTCCAGGGCTACTCCAACACTCAGTCTCTGATCTGGGACCCTCAGCAGCAGGTGTTGCACACACAAGGACTGACGGGCCACGAGGCTCAACAACTGCAGGTATGACCCATTTAAATCCACTATGGTACATTGTGAGGTTGGTTTAGGATTGATGTGTGTTTGTGCTGGAGCAGACTGTGGCAGTAGCAGAAGTGGATGGTCAACAGCAAGTACATGTTCAGGAGCTGCTGCTTCCAGCAACTCTGAAGCCAGAAGAAGGACTTGAGGTGTGGCGTCTGTGGGCTCAAAGGAAGAATGCTGACTTGGAAAAATCTGATTCAAATAAACTTGCTCCAATTGGAAGTAAGAACATAATGAATACAAAGCTATTCATATATTTTTGAGTGCATAATTATGTTGCAGTGTGTTAACTTCTGTATGATGTGACTCTTTTAGGGCGCCAGGCCTTGCGCTTCCAGGAGGATTTGGTGTCTTGTGCTGTAGCGGAGCTCTGCTTGGGCCTGAGCTATATGACGACTGAAGCCCGTGGGATGGAAGGAGAGTCATATGAGGCCGATGTTATTTATTACGTCTTTCTCTGCATGCAAAAAGTAAGAGCAATATTGAGCCACGTGTTTAATTGAACTTTGTACTTGACATGCTTTTGCTCTGCAGTATCTTTTCGATAATGGTCGAGTGGATGACATTTTCTCAGATCAGTACTACGCACGGTTTAGTCAAAGTTTGCACCAGATTTTGGAGCCATGGAGACCAACTGTTCATCAACTAGGTAAAAAAGTTAAACTGATTAGTCATACTCGTGTATGAAGTCATACATTTACAGTTGTAGAAATAGCAGATACATCCACCTTTTTCACGATTCCTAATATTTAATCCAAGTGACGGTCACGTGGCTCAATTGATTATTTTAATATTAAATGTCAAAATATGTACTTTATTTGCTAGCGTGTATGTGACTGTATATACTACTAAAATGTATGTGGGTCAACTGTATACACTGTATCCCTCAGGTTATGTCATTCCCAGTCATGTGACTGAGGAGATGTTGTGGGAATGCAAACAGCTCGGAGCTCACTCCCCGTCAACGTTACTTACAACTCTAATGTTCTTCAACACAAAGTGAGTAATTATTAGAATGAAGACATATGAACTTTAGCTTTGTGCTCTACTGTGTGTAATGCAGGGCACGCCAATATTTTTTCCTGAGTTTATCTACATTAAAAAAAGAATGTTTACCAAAAGTCCAGAACAAAAATCAAAGGGAAAACACAAAGCAGTGCAACAGGCGCAGATGTCACTTCCGTGTCTAACATGACTTAATTGAACCCACTCAAAATCTGCGTTAATGTACTTGTAGCTGTAAAGCAACTCTCACCTTCTCGTGTCACAGTGTGTAATTCCAAGTACTGTATATGGAGAATTAAAGATCCATGAGCTTCTGCAGCGACAAGCTTCAAATAACCAAACATTTTCTCCTCAAACCAACACCAAATGCCGGTGATTAAGTAATTCTGTACTTTATTGCGTCAGCTACCTCGCAAAGAGTGAGACTAGACGGATTGTTGGGTGGAGACCATACATTTGGCTATCTGTTCCATTTCATTACCTTTTTGCCGTTTTTTCCCCCAGATATTTTCACCTTAAAACAATAGATCAACATTTAAGAGTGGCCTTTTCCAAAGTGCTGAGACATACACGAAAGAGTCACAGTAACCCTAAAGATAAAACCACCAGTATACGGTTCCTGAGGGCCACAGAGCGGTTCATTGGGCAGAAGGGTGAGTTACTGACTCATTGGATTATTCTTGAAAATGGACAGTTGTGAACTCTGTAATCCTTAGTGACAGACGACATGTATTGTGAGCAAGTGGAGGACCCTGACAATCCCCTGAGATGTCCCATAAAGCTGTATGATTTCTACCTCTTTAAATGGTGAGTTACAAGCTCAGCAATGCTTTCTCTTTATTCCCAAAAGTCTTGTACTCAAACTATGTAATATATGGAGATTATATCACATAGTAAAGCCATCTACTTTTGCAAATGATGAGTGCCTGGACCTGATTTTTCTCTGCACGTTATATTGCCTCCTTCCATGAGCACCATCTTTTTGCTGGATACCAGAAGCTCCCTGTTCTAATTTCTGTTATATATGGAGATTATAATTTGAAAGTTTTTGTGATTTAAAGTAGGGATGTAAATCGGTGACCGTTTAACCGGTGGTTGACCGTCACAGCGTTAACCGGTCAAAGCTGTCGGTTAAAAAAGAGAAAAGGGGGAGAGGGGAGGTCTCTTCATAACGCTATTTTAAGCCCTATTTGCACGATGTGACGAGCGGGTCCCTATCTAGCTGTGTGCGCCAATGTAACAGTAAACTCTGGGCCGACTCTCACGCCGTACGCGCCACATATGCACGCACACATGTACACGCACACACACACACACACATTTCCCCCCCCTCCATTGACACGTAACATCCACACGCATCATCTCTCCCCTGTGTTACTGTCTGCTAGTTGCACACTGGTGCGGGTCAGAACTACATTGGAGCTTATATTTACACACACATACATACATGTATTGTACACACACACATACCGGTCTGTCGCGCTCCTCTGTGTCACGGAGCCCAAAGCATTCTTGCAAATACACGGCTCCAGTCAAACCACATGGACCATGTTTGTGCTGCTGGTCCTTGGCATCAGCTCCACACTGATCACTTTTAAACTTTAGCGGAGACCTTTGAGACGCGGCTCGTCACTCGCTGCCCTGACCATGTGGACGAGCTTTCTTTTGCTTAAAAATGCTTTAAGCCGCAGCACAGAAGAATGGGAAGATTAAAACAGCAGTTCTCTGTGCGCAAAAGTGCCCAAGCTGTTGCGGGTTTTGGTGCCGCTGTCTCAGCTCTGATCTAGTAGAACGCTCAGCTGCACATATGAAAAGTACGCAGCTCGAAATGGCTGTTATTTCAAAGAACGTGGACTATTTTAAACTACGCGGTTAACCGGTTTCAACCGGTTAATGAGGCTCGGTGGTCGGTCATGAAAATTCATAGTTTTTTACATCCCTAATTTAAAGGTGAGATTTTTTTTAAGAAAATAGAAAGACTTTCTCTGCGATGGCACAGCCTTGTCATAGTCAACCTTGTTAGTCACTGTTGCTAGGAAACAGTCATTTTTATTTGTCTTTCTGAATAATATATTTTTTGAAAATGCCCTCAGAAGGCCTCCACATAAAATAAAAAGTGCTTGACCTTTTTATATCATTCAGATATATGCAAACCATCAAATGTTGCAATCTTTAGGTCCCAAAGCATAAGGGTCTTATAAGTTATTTACATACTAATGGAACGTGACTCAGGGGAATATTAAGTAAGTAATCTTTTATTTATATACCGCCTTTCACAAACCAGAGTCACAAAGCGGTTTATAATTGTCATTTTTTGGGCATTTGTCCTCTCACTCCACACAGAGATGGGAGCGGGGTCGCCAGTACAGGAGGCGCATGCCAGATCTATTGTACATGTTTTATTTATGTACAATATTCTATTTCAATAAATTGAGCAGCCCTAATCCAGAAACATGTATAGTTCAATCCCTCTTGTTGAACAATAAAAACATCTTGTGTTTTTCAGCCCACAGAGTGCTAAAGGCCGGAATGACACGTTTTACCTGACGCCAGAGCCCGTAGTGGCCCCCAACAGTCCCATCTGGTACTCTACTCAGCCCATCCCTAAAGAGCATCTGGAGCAGATGCTGGCGCGCATCCTTGTCGTGCGAGAAATCCAGGAAGCCATTGCCTTATCCGAGCATCAGTAGGATCAGGAGAGCCATATAAGGACATCCTGTTTCTCTCCAGCCTTTGATGCTGAACTAGAGTTTGATCTGCATCTGTGCTCTTTGAGGGTGCTATGTACATCCTCATATCTGTATATACACATTGACTGTACATACATATACAACTACTACCATTGTTTTTGTACTACTATGGCAGTCTCTTTTTTTAACACGTTTTTGCCAAAGGTAGTAGTATAGTCTTTTAATTTAAATGTTATTTTAGCTATACTCCTACCACCCCATGAGGTTGATTATATTATGTTTTTATTTGTAATATATTTTATATATTCCACACCTTCCTTGATTGTTCTTTTGTCTCACTACAATTGTTTGACAATTACTGACAAACTTTCCACTTGATGAATGAGAACTCTTCAGAACATTGGACTTTTAAGATCCACACAAAAAGACATGGTAACTCCTACACTCTGCCTGCAGTACAACAACTTGCCACTGGAAGGCGCCTTGGGTTGAAGTCGAAATAAAGCGGTGAACTCCATCACACAAGTTGAGGATTTGCTGTGCCTATGAATTTTAATTGTTTTGTACAGATTTCATGCTTCTGCCTTCTTTTGGGACTCTGTATCAAATGCACTTGTGGAAACATGGCCTGCAGCTTGTGACAAAAATGAGACATTGTTTCTTGGATTAAAACATTCTCACAAACTTTATTACGACTCTTAAAACATGTGAATTGCTGACAGCTTTGTTATCTATGTTTCAAATCAAGTTTATCCTGATTGGCAGGTTTTGTTCTAGGCTTTTCCCCTATACACACACACTTCCTCCATGAGCATTATTTGCATGTGGTTGGACCAGTTAGTCTCAGTGTCCTGACGTAGACGTTCATCTGTATGGCAGTTGTGTGAAAGCAGACGTGTTTGAACTTTTCTTTGGTAATGTTGACGACGGCCACAGCTTCTTGAATAAGTTTGAAGGATGTAGAAAGTGTTGACTTGTGATTTGTTCTTGCTCTGATGTGGAGCGTCTGTGTTGGCGGTGCTTTTTCCTCACTTTATTTCCTTTTGATGCAGATGCAGAGCTGTGCGGCTCAGGCTTGGGAGGGCTCGGCTTTAAATTGAGACTCTGAAGTTGTTGCCTGGAAAGAACAAAACTCTTATTCCCACAACATGTTTCATAGTCAGATTATTTCAAGATGATAATTTCTCACCATATAGGTCTGGTTGTTGACATTCTTGCATTAAGCCAATGCCGGAGACATTGATAGACAAATACATACTGCTGCTGCAATTGAGAAGGATAAAACAATTATAGCTCGTCGGGCTGTGATAATAATAATAATGATTATGTTGGTAGACCACATGATAATAAAAATGCATTGGTTTTATATAGCGCTTTGGACACTCACACTTTTCTTCCACAGCTGGGGCACACTGTCAGAAGCAAGGAAACCAGTATGTGCCATCGGCCCCACCAGCTATTCACACACACACACACCTGACCCATTCTAGAAAATAGGGGTGAAGTGTCTTGCCTAAGGACACAATGACAGTTTGGCACTTTACAGCCGCAGCCGCCCCACTGTGATACCTGGTGTAATCAGTCATCTTTTGCACTCACTATCTTTTGTTTCATAAATACATTGGTTGTCCCTATACACGTAACATTTTGCTGTGTTCACCAATTAGAAGAGATGATTAGCTGCGATGAGGCTGATCCTAAAAAGCTAAAATAAGTTACAGTACATGAAAATTAGTGATTGAACCAAACGGTTTTGAGAGGAATGAACTTTAGTCTTTTTTACATAGTTATTTATTGTTTTAATTGTTAGGTACTGCAGCTTCGATGGACTAAAGACGAGAACCAGTTGTATTTGATATTAGTTTGTGTTGATAATGTACATGAAATACGTGTGTGTGTGGGGTTCTTTTTGTCATCCTTTTTCTCACCAGGTTTTGTATCATCCACATGCGATGCAGTCTGAGGTCTTCTACTGCAGCTCTGACATCAGGTCTGATCCCTCGAGCACAGAGCTGCATGAGCCACAGCAGAGCCACAAAGGTCCCTGAACGCCCCACGCCTGCACTGGACACACACAAATACACACACAAATACACACACAGGCACTGAATAAACCGCACAAAAGCCAAATACGTCACAGTCCAGCACTTAAGTCTGCCACAAGAATTACTGTATCTACTCTCACTTGAAGGGAGAGTGGATGAATAGTAAAGTGTAAAGGATAAATTCAGGACTGCATTACGGTCTTTCAGAAGACAGAAAGGCTCTAATGAATTTTAAGACATTTTCAAGACCGTTATAAAGCCACTTAGGGGCAATAAAGAAAGTAAGAAGGTTTATGAATTCAGCACCTCCGGTATGGCAGCCTCACTCCCTTCCCTGTGTGGAGTGAGACAAATGTCCACAGTTGTAAAGCGCTTTGTGACTCTGGTATATGAAAGGCGCTATATAAATAAAGATTACTCACTAACTTACTTACTCCTCTGATCTACCCCTGTATAATTAAGAGTCTACTAAACTGAAAACTATTATTTATTTAAAACAGTAATATGATGTAGTGTAACATCATAATACTGTGCTCATACGGTGTACCGAGTGTTCTACAAATGTAACTATTGTATGAATTATCTTTTTTACAATTTATTTTAATTTTTTTTTCTAAATATATTTTTAATAACTTAAGTATAGCACACATCTATACTTAAAAAAATAAATCTTTAGCTTAATAAAGAAACAAAGTGTAAAAACTGTACACATATAAGGTATAAACCGGTCTACTCTAGACATGAATCTGGAATTTATCTCCAGTAAGATGCCACATGGAAAAATCCAATTTATACTGTAAGTAGGAGTGAGTTCAGACCTGCAGTGCACCACTGTCGGCCCGAGGCGGGGGAGAGTCTCCAGATGTTGTCGCACATGATCAGTGAAAGCACAAAGTGATGCCGGCTCTTTTGGAACACCCTGGTCTGGCCACGAGGAGTAATAGTAGTGTGTGACTGTCCGATCAGTGGGGCAATCCCTCTGAAACCAGATACACATAGACACTTGTTTTCAAACACAATTCCATCTGCTGAAAATAAAAGCAGATGCGTACCCTGACAAAGTGCTTTAAAAGTAACTGCGGTAGTGCCTCGGGAGTGTCTGTTTTCTTGTGTTTAAATATGTGTATTTGCAATCAGAAATGCACCCTCTATCTCCAATGAGAAGCTGGCTGGCTTCATTTTCAGATTTCTTACATCCATACAGCGCTCCCTAAACCTCTGTATTATAGTTTTCATATTGCCTTTTATTCTAATATCAACTCATTAAATATTGTGAATCAATTTTTGTTCATAAAATACTTGGACATTATTATTTGGGCCAATAAATACATTGTGAGAAAGTATAGAGATTTTAGCATGTGCTAAAAGGCACTCCTTTTGTATCTGAGATATTGTTGTCAGCACATCTTTTCCTATTTTGGTAATTTTCAAGCAATTTCCATAGTATTTAGTTAAACAAACAAGCATATATTCCTAGATTTACTGTATTTTGGTCTGAATTGAATGACAACTGGATATTAGAAAATGTTTTGCATAATTCTACTGGAACAAGGGACATAGATCTCGAAACAGATCGGTTCAGCCTATGCTAATATCTAGAAAAAGAAAACCTACAGGAGCCAAATCTTAATAATGAGAGTGGGGTTTCATTATTGCTCTGCACAAGAGCTTGTTTACCTGTCGTAGTTTGATGGTTGTGATGATGCAGTCTGGTCCTTGTTGGCGGTTGACTGTGGTCACTTGTATCCGCCCGTGTTGAACTGTGCCCGGTTCAAAAGACCAGTACTTCTCACATAAAACCTGGAAAGCCAAAAAGTCTTTGTTTCTTGAGGACAAAGTTGGGGAGAAGCTAAATACATGTAAAGGGAATACTCAGTTTGAGTAACTATAAAAAGAATGCAGATACTCAAATCAATTGAATATATGGTGCTACGTTATCACACAAGTTTGGCTTAATCACTGTGGTGGTCAATTTGACCCAAGGGTAGCACAAGGGCTAAATATAGGATTTTACTTATTTTAATCATTAAAACAAGGAATACAGATTATAATCATATAAACAGGGAATTCATATTATGATCATATAAACAGGGAATACAGATAAGAACACATTCACAATACTCTTATTTGGCTAAGCCCCATTTGGATACAGGCACACTTCCTTCAGACGCTCACTACGCAGCAAAGAAAGACTCAAAATGGAATGCATTAAAAATGTACAAACTTTACACTCTTCTAATTACACGCTTTTCTCCAGAGGATGGAGAAATCTCAGTGCTACTGTACTACATTTTTTTAAATAGAAAAACAGTATTTAATACTGTTAATTCTTAGAATTCTTAATAGTTACTCAAATGAGTGTATTCAGTTACTCCCTGACAGTGAAGACTCAGGTCTCAGCGAGAGAAGTGGTCTTTGTTTTGGCATCTATTTCAGGAAGGATGTATGTCATAAAAAACTGACAAGTGCCAGAGTGTCGATTTGCATAACGAGCAGCTGGTGATATCAAAATGCCCGAAACCTGTGTATAAATGTTTTGTAATATCTTGCCACTGCTCTTTCTACACAATGAAATATCCACTGTTAAAACCACCAGACTGTACGACCAAAGTGTGCTCATGAATGTAATGTGTGGTTTTCCAGATCATCTTTGCTGATGAGTGCACAGAGGCGGAGGGCAGGCACTGGCACATGAGGCATTTCTGCTGCTACGAATGTGAGACGACGCTGGGGGGACAGCGTTATATCATGAAGGACGGACGACCACACTGCTGCAACTGTTTTGAGTCCCTTTACGCAGAGTACTGTGATGCCTGCGGAGAGCACATAGGTACAATTATGCTCCAGTTCTTAATATGGTGGCCAGCTCTATATGTGTTATATACACAGGATAAGAGCAAGAGATTGATTTATGTTATATGTTTTTGAAAAGAAGAAATATAAGATATTATTTGTAGTCATTAAAATTGTGAAAAATCAGGACTATTCACTTATAGATAATAATTAAAAAAAGTAGAAAACATGGTGAAACATGAATCAAGGATTACAAATACTATCCTCCTGTGTAACCACCAGAAAGAGGCTTTTAAGTTCGTTTTCTTGGTATCGGTCAACCTGAGAAACTGTCAAAACTAATTCATGGAAATATTTTGTTTTAAATTATGTCATAGTGGTACATTGACTGGAAATTACTGTTGTACCATGTGCCTTTAGATAAACCACGCCCTCTGGAGGTTAATTGTAAACACAGCAGAATGTGTTTTGCCACCTCTGCCACTAGATGGAAGTGTTGGTGCATTCTAGTCATCTCTTACTTAATTTTGCTGCTTTTTAAAAATCGTTACACATTCTATAGCATATTCCTGAATATGGGTGTTAACCAGAAACAAAGGGTAAATCTCAATGTGTGATTTTTGTTTTTTCAAGGAATTGACCAGGGCCAGATGACCTACGATGGACAGCACTGGCACGCCACTGAAGCATGTTTCTGCTGTGCACACTGTAAGCGTTCTTTGTTGGGACGTCCCTTTCTGCCCAAACAAGGGCAAATCTACTGTTCTCGGTCTTGCAGCGCTGGACAAGTAGGCCACTTCATCACTTTACTTTCTAGTGTGTAATGTTGCATGTTTGCTAATTTATTTCTCATTCAAAAGGATCCAGATGAGTCAGATTCCTCAGACTCAGCCTTCCAAAGTGCCCGGTCTCGTGAGTCTCGGCACAGCACTAAAGTCGGTAAAAAGGAACGGCGTAACGCAGAGCAAGAGCGCAGGAGTAGTGAAGGTCGGCAGTCCGCTCCCCCGATGCCAGACCGCCTCTCTGCTGAGATCGACCCACTGTCTGTTCAGATGGACCGTTTGAGCGTCTCCTCCAGTCAAACTCCCAGCAGGACACCCACCCGCACCCCCAACCGCACACCGAGCCGCACCCCAAGTCTAAACCAGGTCTGGATGAGTCGCGACGACCCGTATGTGCCTTCAGCTTACGAGGGCCCTCAGAGAGACCCTTCACCTACCCCGGCTCCTATCCACATGCTGGCACCTAGGCAAGGCTACAATCCAAACGCCAATGCCCACCCCCCAGCGCAGAGTCCAGGGAATCCAGCCAAAAGGCCCGACTCCTGGGGAAAGGAGCAGGGCAATGCCAAAAGGACACCTATGGCAGCATTGAGAGGACATTCCTTTAATGACAACTGGATGCACCAAAGTCAGGACGAGTTTAGGCCCAATAAACTCCGCACACAAATGAGTTTCAACGAAGTGTCCAGCCAGAACCAGGGTTTTCCAGATAAAAGGAGCATCAGCCTCGGCTTCCAGAGGGATGGCAGGCCCCCACTGACCCGAAGGAACCACATCACAGCGATGAGCTTCAACGAGCCACTCACTCCTCTTGAGCAGACGCCCCGAGGATCAATGGACTCTATTACTATGACCAATACAGCAGGTAAGATGAGTGACTGAGTAAATACAATAAACAGCGCACCCTTGTTTAAATGATATGTAACAGTCTCCTCTTCTCTAGGTAACTCTCTAGACGGAGCGACCAAGCGACAGGAGCATTTGTCTCGGTTCTCGATGCCAGATCTGAGTAAGGACTCTGGGGTGAACGTGTCAGAGAAGAGCAACATGGGCACCCTCAGCTCCTCAGTACAGTTTCACAGCACAGAGTCTCTGTCATCCACTCGGCCTTTTAGTAATAATAATATGTACACTCCTCTCAGAGTGGGCTACCCGTTAGGATACTGGGACGGCCCGCAACCCCTGAGCTTTGAAAGTAAAGGTCGTGTTGGCGTGATGGGAAGCAGTGGAAACCTGCGCATGCCTCCATTAAGCGACCGCATGCCTCGACGGCGTCTGACAACTCAGGACTCGGTTTCTCAGCCGCCTCAGCCGCGGCGCCGTAAACACCACAGAGGAAACGGGCAACATCGCAGTGGGCGTCACAAGCGCTCCCGACGCTCACGCTCAGACAACGCCCTACACCTGGTGGCAGACCGCCCCACTCAGGCGGTGGAGCCCCCGTACCGCAGGGTGCAGGAGGACTATGACCGCTTTCCCCCTGGACACAGGGAGCTGTTCAGCCTGGACTCTGCAGGATACAGGCAGCAAAGGCCCTGCCCTCGGACCACCTCTGACCTGACTCTGCACAACGCAGGCTGGCCGCCTGTGGGCCCGGCCGGGCCGTGCTGGGGAGAGGGCCATGTGGAGGCGGCAGACCCCTGGTGCTCCAGCTGCTCATCCTCCACTGAGTCAGAAGAGGATGAGGGCTACTTCATGGGAGAGCCGATCCCCCGCCCTGTGCAGCTCTGCTACATCAACAATGAGGAACTACGGCACCGCTACAGCCCATCAGGGATGGCAGGACACCACGGACCCATGCATGGACCTATCCATGGACAAATGCACACTCGCCAGCGCAGGAAGAGTAAAAACTGCATCATCTCTTAGATGTTCATGTGCAATAAGACAGCTGGACAGAGGTGTATGGATGAGAGGTATAGAGCTGGTGGCAGAGTGGGAGGAGAATGGAGAGTGCAACTTTGAAGTGTACTGCATGTGGGGTCAAACGCACAAGGCCTATTTTTTGTGCTTACACAACTCTACACTGGCTAGTGTTTATGTACACCTACACGGGATGATCTAATACAAATAGGAAACTCAACTGTCTTACACAACACAATGTTTACTGTTATGGACAACTGCTGATCACTTTACCTGGACGAGGATCTGTGACTGAGTCTGCAATCAAAGACCTGCGGATGGATCATAGACTGATAATTAAATTGTTATAGTCCATACAACTACTAGACAAAGAACTATTGTTGGAATAGTGATGAGATTACCTCTGTGGGATGTAAAGCTGCTTCAAAATGATGTTGGTGTTCACTTTGTACAAATCGTCTGCTCTGTTGTGCTCGACATTAGCTCCATGCTTTAATGAGGACGAGCGCCCACAGCCTCTGCCCTCGCTCATTCAGGCACAGTAACGTCAGGTATGGTCCCGTTTCTCTTCTGCAACATGCTTTGTTTTTTGAAATTTAGATGTAGATGAAATAATAACTCTAACAACTATAAGAAGCTTAAATAAAAATGCCATTTATTATAATCTTTAAAAAATATCTGTTAAATGTATATACAGTACTCAACTTATAATGGATGTAGTCATGTAAATGTTCTGTACATATGGTCTTAAATATTTATATATTTTGTAACTAAAGAATCATTATTTGTATTACATGACGTCAGGAAACAAAGGATTGCATGTTGATTTGTTGGTGTTGTCTCAAACTGGAAATAAAGTTGTTAATTATCTGTCACTCTCTTTCTCTCAACTACACTGTTTTTGGAAGTTATTAAATTAAACATATATTTTTTACACATTAATAGTTTCAATCAATGCACTTTTGATATAAGAATTGCATATTTTTCAAAAAACATAAGTGACAAAGCTGCATCGTACATAGTACATAGCTGTGATAGAACACATTGTTACTGTGTATGAACTGAATTAACAGCAGCATGTAAAGATCGAAGAGGTCCCAGGATTGACCCCTGTGGCACTGCGCAGGTCTGGTCCTTAAACAAGGGTTCCTTTTAGGGTCCCTTGTCATGTGTTTAACTTCATTTACATTATCTATGACCAGACAAACACAATGGTGTGTAAATACAGTCATGTTATACAGTATATTAAAAAAAACACACATGTACTTCAGAATGTCATTATTCTAATCAAGAAGAACAAAATGTCAGACAATGATTTCAGTTCCAGTTAAAATAAATCATATAAAATCAAACAAACAGTTTTCAAAACAGTTTTTTGACCATATTCAGACGATAATGTGGCAGACTATTAATGCTTCTACTGTTTTGGATTTGCACTTAAACAACCAACCAAGGTGTTTGAATCGTAGATCTTCATTTTGTTCCGTTTCACTTATTTGAAACATAGCAACAGTTAAATATTTTGCCCACCTCTACATGAGCTTTAAGCTCAAAACCTGAATACAAACAGTGCATTTTAATTACATTCAAATTACAGCAGCAATTTTATAAGAAAATAAAGGATACAAAATTGATTTAATAAAACCTTTCATACAACGATGTAACTCAATGTGTTTAAAGCTGAGGTACCTAACTCTTATAAATAATACTATTGTTGGTCACAACAGAATGAGTCAAACACAGACAACAGAAAGCTGTCCTTATCTTAATGAACAGAAAACATGTTTTCTTTAGCTTGATTCTAAAAAGGAGCCCGATGAGTCAGTATTTGACACTTTGAGCGGTGTTTGGCGGAGTGAGGTTGGTCCTCTTTCTCAAATTCTGGCTGAAAAAGTTGATTTAAATGTTTTGAGAGCAACAAACTGGTTAGATTTCATTACGTTTTTGGTGGTTTCAAAATGAGGTACCGCAGCTTTAACAAAGACAGTGGAGCACAATGTTGGAGCACAGCGTTCCATTTACAAGGAGCTAAATAAGACAAAGCTGCTTCTCCTACTTTTAGTTTTCAACAAGAAGAGGCGAGAAGGCTGAGGCCCGAGAATCAACAGGGACGTTGTTTCTTGACGGCACACCTACTGGAAACAGAAGGATTATTCCATTTGATTGCAGCTGGTTGTGACTGGTGGCTTTAGAGTGACTTCTCCCTGGAGTCGTAGTCCTCAATAAACTTTTCCATGGCCTGAACACAGCGAGCGCCGATGTCCCGCAGGTTTTGCCGGAGAGACTCCTGGATGGGAATCTCCAGAGATGGATCCTTTTCAATTAGCATCTTCACCACCAGACCAAACATTTCACAATCCTTGAAATACACCTGGAAAATAATGATTACATGTAAATATAGATTATAGATTTTCACCAATAAAGAGAAATGGAAAAGTTTATTGATATGTAGACCAGGTAGATTGTATCCTGGGTTATTGTGATTTATGAAAAACATTCGAATGTGAATCGTGGTGAACTTTAACACAGAGACTTGTTTAGAAGTCATTGGAAAGTGTGGGATCTGATCTGCATATTTTGTACTGTGGACTCCCGTTATATCTGTATTACTGCTAAACATTATCTGAAGAACTGAAGGTATTTTTTCTGACCCACATGGTTACTAGTATCTATATCTTAAGCATGCATCATTAATATCTCAAGGGATGATTTCTCTGTTCTTATGCACATTGATACAAATCATATAAAGAGCTTCGTCTCCTTTTGCTCGAGCAGGAAGGACTCGAAAATAAACCATTGCTGCTGCCTTGTCTTCCTTTCTTGACAAAAGAATGGAGCCAGGGTTAGAGCCACAGATTATTATCCCTGCCCTAAATGTAATTCATAAATTTCCTTTACAACTAATGAGCAAAGATAATGAAGTTTAAGTATTTTGCAGTCATACCCATTACCTCAAAATGACTCATATCTCTTGTTGTTTAAAGATTGGATTATTATTTATATATTTGATATGGACAGAGCACTTTCATGAATCTGTAAATCTATCTATAGCCGTAAGAGATAGATATAAACTCATTGATCCACATCCACACAGTGAAAATGGACCAGATTGTAGCAGAAAAATAAGATATCCAGCTGTTGTCCCACAGCAGGTAACACAAAGTAGAAAAACACTTTACCCATAACAAAAGCACACCGTTAAAAGCGCTCACAAAATTGGCTTTCTTTCAGGAACAAATGCACAATTAATTTTGAAATGGGGCAGCATTTAAATGAGATATATTATGGAAAACATCACAAATAACAACATCAAAAACACCACTAACATCAGGAACTGTCTAAAAGCTCCTTCAATAATACGATGTGATTACACCACTATTGCAGTTACAACCGAGAGCAGTCAGATTCAGATTCGGATTCAGATTCATTTATTTGCCATTTGCAGTAAAACCACATTGGAAAAACTGTGCAAGACTACCCCGGTGTGCACCAGACGACACACACCAGAGCTCTTACCACGGCGCCATCTTTACGGCGCCAGTCTTATGTCTTTTAAAACAAAGTAGTAGACAATTCCTCAAGTGAAATCTTTGCAATCACATGGAAGGGTGAGCAGCCAGTAATTTTCATTTTTTTAAAGAAAAACAAAGTACCCTTTGCTCCCTCTGGTGGTAGCATAGGGATATGGCAGGCCAATTGCACTATTTCCCTTGATACTTTTTTCACCAAATATTTTCTACTGAAGATAGAGTCATTATCCTGTTAAATGGCCAAAAATAATGCATAGTAATTCTTCTTTAAAGCAACACTAATAAAAAATTAAGTAATTTCCCCGTTTTCCTAATCCCAGGACTTTGACATTGTCTCTTGCACCTCATCGATTTCTTTCCTCTTCTTCTGGATGGCTCGTTCCCGTGCAGCCTGTTTGGCAGCGGACTGGTGTGTGTCTGGGTCTCTGCTTCTGGGGCCTCTTTGGTCCCTCTCTCGACTCTGGCTCTTGTCACTCTTTGGGCCCTGACAACAGAAGAACAGAACAATGGATGACAGCACCATGACAGTTGGCTCAGGCCTTGGATACAACAGACCAGTCACAACTTAGCTGCTAACGACCAAGAGGTGACTGGACTTTGTATGATTTCCCACTGTGTATTGACAGCCGTGAAGCGACACTCAAACAGAACTAAGCCAACATGAACAGTGTATTCTCTTCTTGCATACATGTAAGAAATGTCATAAATTCACTTTCATAACATTACATCACGTACAATCATGCATTCTTGTAAAGTATTCATTATATTATTCCAACCACAAATAAGTTTTAAAAGATAAACAATGAAAATATTAGTCCATACTCAACGCTCTTTTTAGAGTGCTTCATGAGTTATTTATATTTGAAAACCCTGGCTGCTAGTCTGAGCATAAACTGCATACAGAAAAGAGCAATCGTTTTAGACCCCATTTTGGTTTTACAAATTATGGTTTACTGCTTTGTTTGATGCTGTTTTTATTTCAGTCTTTGTGAATCCATAAAGGACTCCTAACAACTGACTGATCTGCTTGTGATTGGCTCTTTGTTTGTAGTTGTTGCTCTCCCCAAACATTGGCTCCCACATTCCATGGTGCCTGTTTGTGTTGGCTTTAATGGGCTTGTGCTGGGAAAAGGCAAATGCAATGGGTTTATGTGAATGTTCTGGCTCTCTGTGTCATCTGGGTTGTCTTTTTCACTAAAGTGGCTCTCTCAGTCACAGTTGTTCTACAATCAATGGGTCTGAGTGGATTTGACAATTCTTACGCTGAAGTCGTGTTAAGGGGCAAAGCGAAATGGACGATGCACGATTTATAAGCATTATTTTAGATACATGTTGAGATTTATAAAAGATCCAGTTGTGTCATAGATGATTGCTATAGCCCTATGATAATTATCTAACACTCTGAATGCATGTCTTTAGATGAAAAGATGAAGCCGGAGCCGGGCAACCAACAGAACCCTACTGACCATCTGTTGAGATTTAGTTATTTCATTAAGATGAACAATATAATTATTATGTTGTGTATTACTAAGATATAATTCCTTAACTAATGCAGAGAAAGAACTTACAGAGCTCTGGTCTTTGTCTCGGCTCGAAGAAGATCTTGACGGAAAAACTCCTGCAACAAGAATAAACAACAAACCAGAGGTGAGAAACAATATTTGGCTTGGGATCTATTTTTAAGCAATTGACATCTGCAGACTCTAATGGACAACTACTTTGGGAAAGGCAGGACACTGTGATCGCTGTGCCACAATTGTATCATATTGTGTTAGACCTTGAGAATTGTAGCTTGAAAAACAATGTAAATGTTGTGGCATATGTTGCGCGTCATGTGATAGTTATAGAAACACTGTGAACAATAAGCCCAATGTTCAGATCTGTTACATGCATATTAGTCCCCTGTTTCCTCACTATATTCCTCTCTTTCACATCTAAATACACAAACGGCAGCGATGACTCACTATCATCTCACCACCATCACTCGAGCACTCACTAAAACCTGCTTCACAGTGGCACACACCTCCACAGAGCCGCAGTGTGCCAAGGAAGTGCAGCAGAATATAACAACTTCACTATCAAACACCTTATGTTCACAAAGAAAGGACACTGCAAAACAAAAGAATAACAACAAACAATGCCAGATTATCTTACTCAATATTGACGAGGCACAAGTCAAACTATCCATTAAGGCTTTTGCAAAATCTATTCCTTCAAGGTCCCTGCTGACTGGAGCGCTTTCTCCTTATGCGCATTTCTTTCAAGTCATCATTACAGAGATCGCTGTCTTCTGTCTCACTGTTCTTGAAATTATCTAATCTCATTGTAACATGAATGATAGTGCTATTTTTCATATCATTGGAGAGAAACCAATACACAGCCAGGCATGACTATTGTAGCATAGCAGGCAGATAAACTAGAGCCAGCCAAACTAAAGGCCTTCGACTTTTACAACATAAAAGCTGCAGCTATAATTCTTTGAACAGAGGAATTGTGTTGGCCTTCACAGAATGTACCTATTAGGCAAGAGATCATCATGTTATGTCTCTGTAAATACTCATTTTCATTTTCTCGTGAGCCCTATGCTAACCCTACATGTGCAGTATCTAAACAGGTGTAAATTGTGCACAGGGGATGACACATTTATGCCTCATTCGTGTATTGTTTGCTGAGAGCGATGGCATAATCCAATCCATGAAAGCCTGTTCAGCTTTGAGGCTTATGTAACATTCATTTCTTGGTACCAGAATATGACTAGTACCTCCCAACAAAGCGAGGAGAGCGCAAACAAACAAGCCTCAAATATTTGTAAAGAACAGAGAGGATGTAAATTAGGTCTGCGTGTGGCTGGTCTATACCGCCATCTAAAGGTCATATGGAATAACTGCTAATGAGTGTTAGGCAATCAGTGCTGCCACCCAAATCTCATTGCACCAGTCCCTTGCTGATCCTCCTGCAAGTGGTGGGTCTACAGGAAGATTGCTGCTCTGTCAGCGATGACTCAGCCTCGGTATCTCGTTGAGAGTTTTCTTACTCACAAAACTGTTTGCCTCCATCACTGGTTTTCATATGTATGTATTGGATCAGCTTGTAACATGCCACAGATACTACAGTAATAACTAAAGTTCTTTATGTTTTCCTTCTGAGTATTCTTCTTCTTCTGTTGTCTATCGCCGAAACACACCAGGTTATTAACAGTAGTAGCATTTTCACACATCTGTCTTATTAATAGTATAACTCAAGTCTGACTATATTGTTAGTAGACATCTATTCAAATTATTTATTTTGTGACCTACTGTTTGGTTTGGATGGCGAGCTGTCCTCCCTGCTCTTCTCTTCGTATCGCTCTTCCAAAACTCGGTCAACAGGAGCCGGTGGTTTGTAGTTCTGCCTTCGATTATAAGGCTTGGGCTTGAATTTGGTGTTTTTACGGTTATTTCTAAAAAAAGATTTACGGCCAATCTGATCCTCTCTGTAAAACCTGAAACACACAACAATTGTCAGGGGTACTATAAATAGAAGGATTTTTTTTTTTTATTAAGTCTCACTTTTGGAATTTACGTGACATTTTATGATTATAAGAGTAGGATTGCCCCGCCCTCCCTCGAGATGGACTCTGGACTCTTCTGATCGGCCTCTCTACAGCCTGAAAAAAAAAATCTGATGTTTAAACACCAATAACACTATTGCAGGATTTTATGAGGTGACACTCTCTCTGTGTGTGTGTGTGTGTGTGTGTGTGTGTGTGTGTGTGTGTGTGTGTGTGTGTGTGTGTGTGTGTGTGTGTGTGTGTGTGTGTGTGTGTGTGTGTGTGTGTGCGTGTGTCAAATCTGACCTGAGCTGCTCCGCCAGAAATGTCAGATCTTTTTGCCATCTGAAAGAGATATATATTTATATAATATGATTAATGACTATTATTAATTAGTAATGACTTAAGGGAATGCCTCCTTTCTTCTAAAGGGGAGGACTATCCTTTTTTTGCACAACAAAACGCTTACAATTAAACGGCTGCTATGGTATTGACGCCAAGTTAATAAGTAGCAAACTTTAGCATTTGCCTTTAGATTGTCAAACATCAACTAATAAAACACGAATAGGCCAAATATGTTTTAAAAGTATAACATATTATAGTTTTACTTTCGATTCAGGACCACGTGACTCAAGGAGCTGAGCATGCAAAGAACCAGGCTATATTATACAGTAGCACCTTTTACTCGTGGATAAACACTATAACTATCGTTCCATGCGGTTGATTACCTGCGGCCTGCCCAGTGGAGAGTGGTCCATCTTTGTTTACACTTTTAGTTTCTGTTCTTGTGGACTCCGCGCGACACCCGGAAGAAGCGGCAGAGTCAGAGTCCGTGCAGACGGCTGTGGAGCTCCGCAGACTACTGGCTCATTTTCAAACTACACCCATTTACCGCGACATGTCTTTAGCTTTTGCTTTTGACTGACAAATTCTGCTCTGTCTGCCAGAACTATGCAAATGCTGAAACACAACTTCCCGTCAGACTGTCCAATCCGCTTGAAGAAGACATTGGTAATAAACAGTAAGGCCCTGCAGCTGCGCATGCTCAGACCGACACTAACCTGTTGTTATACCATGGTTGAGATCTTAGTTTTCCAGTGACTGATGTTGTCACAAATCGCATTTTCACAAAGTGATATCACTCTAAACATATTGTGGTGGCATTATTTTAGCTACTAGTGACTTTCTGTTGTCCCAGAATATATGGCCCCTCTTGCATGTTTGAAGATCTCAGATCTCAGAAGCTAAGCAAGACAGGGTCTGGTTAGAACTGTGACGGGAAAGTCAAAATGACGTTGTGTCTTGAGGCAAGACACTTCACCCACATTGACTATTATGAATCTGGTTATGTATGAATTGGTTGTAGGAGGTTAGAAAAATTATGGCACAAATTAGTGGCCCACTGTCAGTCTACCCCAGGGCAGCTGTGACTGCAGTCGTAGTGTACCTGCACCGCCTTGGTACATGTGAAGCATCTTTGACTGTCCAAAAAGCACTGTATAAAACCGATGCATGATTAAGTACGAGTGACACTATAGGTCAAAGTTATTTTGGTCCTCAACACTTTTACATGCCTTTTCAGTTTGAACTGATGGAATAGAAAATATTATCAAGGCGTTCAACAATAATCATCATTTGATCATTACATGGCAGAGAACAAATGCGTTTCTCAGGGCAGTCATTTTCACAGAACTGGTGGGGCCTGTTTTTGCCTTTGACGTCCTCCTTAATTTGCCCCTCCCAGTGTCCCGTCTGTGTCTCCACCTCTGTCCCAGGCAACTCACACCTCCGCCTAAAACAGGAGCGCACCTTAAAACCTCATGACAAAGCCGATCTTTCAGCGAGTTGTCACCATTTTGAAGGTAATACTTTTTACTACTGGTATTTTACATTTGGGATTTATAGCTGTGTTATATATTTCTGATCATGTTGCAGTCTCTGTCCGGAGACTTGTCCAAACAGGTTTCTGACTTTCTTAGAAAGAAGGAACACAGAAAATAAACAGAGAAAGGGCTCAGTTAAGGCTGTGGTGTAAAAGGCCCAAAGCAAAGCGTAAATTCATAATTGTACTGAAGTCCATCCATCCATTTTCTTCCCCTTAATCCATTTCTGGGTAGGGGGGTGGCAGTCAGAGCTGCACCCAGTACACAGAGCACCAGCCCCTCACTGATCCTCCTGCAGGTGGTGAGTCCACAGGAGCTGAGATCTTTCACTATACTGAAGTGACTATTTTTATATATATATTTATGGGGTATCAAACTTGTGCAGTTTTTCACAACAGAAAGTCTTGCAAACTTAAATTAAAGTAAATTTTTTGTAAAGAAATGAAACCACAAAATTATTTCTCTATCCTATGGGATATTTCATCTTTTGCATATTGATAGTAGGGTACCGGTACTTTTTAATTTGGAGATCTATATCATTATAAAAGGTGTGCATGATTTAACTTTTACATTGTGTCAGCTTTCTTCTGCACCAGTATCATACAGACTTATACATTAGCTGAGTTACATGAGGGAACATTCCAGGCAAAACAACATAATTTGAAGGAGCAAAAGCAAAAAGCAGACCCTCCAACAGGAAAAAAGTGGATGTTTGATTTTATGATTATTTGATCAGTCTGACAATAAGGATTATTGTATTTACCAAGATCTATTGATTTTAAAGTATCGATAAGCAAAATTTAGAAATGGTTTGGTGATTGGTATTTTGTCTTTTTCCTTTGAAGATTATAACTTTTGACTCACCCGCAAGTTGAGACATGAGGTAGGAATGATAACTATCCATTCACTGTACGATTTCTGTGTTTCGAAATATAGAAAATCTGGCAAATCTGTTGCAGGGTCCAGACATTTTCACGAGCTCAGATCCTGGAGGAATTCACTCTGCGATATCAGTCACTCGCTGCTTATGACAACGGTGGCTTTAAAAAAGAATTTGAGGTAACCAGAAGACATTTTGCTTTTTAGAATTGTGTAAAAACGGGCAAAATTCTTGAGATTTATTTTGTTGTTGAAGGATTTGAACGAGGTTGGTCAGAATCTGCCGTCCAAGGCTGGGACCAGTGAAGGGAACCAGAACAAGAACAGATACCCGTACATTGTGCCATGTGAGTTCAGATCTGTGAAAAAGATTTACAAAGAAAAGACCAATGTGATTTTTTTTTTTCCTGATTTGAAAGTCCCAAAGAAGTGGGTACGACAGGTCATTTTTAACTTTTCACAAAACATAGTCAATGTTGTTATTTTTCAGATTTTGGTTTAACAAATTTCATCCCTGTTTTGTCCTATTGTATTATTATTTTACTTCCTAGATGTAAATTATGACACTATAGGAGGCATGTTGCCACTATAGGAGGCATGTTGCCATGTTGCAATAAGTCAAAAACCTCTAATTATTACAAATTCAATTTATGTAAATATACTTTGATTTAGTGCAGAATACATTTATCTGTGATGTCATTAGTTCTGGAACATTGCTCTATGCCTTGTTTATGTCAACTTGTGAAGCACACATTTAGCATTTAATACTGACAAAATAAATAAATAAAATATGTGCTCAAATTAACTAGATTGATCTTGACCTGTGCAAGCAACAATACATATTGTTGTCTAGATATCTTTGAAAATACCCTAAAGCCTCGATATATCATTATTTGTAAATAATTCAGTCTTTTTATTCAGTCTGTATCAATATGTTTCACATTCTATGAATTACTAGTCCCAATTGTTGTCTAATAATTACAATTATTTTCCCAAACTGTTGCAGATGACCATTGCCGAGTGAGGCTGTCTTTACAAAACCAGAATCCGTTCTCTGACTACATCAATGCAAACTATGTCCCGGTGAGAATCTTTGTCATTGGTGGTAAATTATGGGAAAAAGTAGATTGTGATTCTGTTCCATTAAAATATTATGAAACATTGATTATTTAGAGCTGCATCATTTATCACAATCAAATCAAGAGCACAATTTGACACAGTGAGCAAATGGAGACTGTGATTACAAAAGTCCTTTGAAACAACAGTATTTGCTAATATAAAAGTAGCACTGTTGTACCTACAGTTCAGATCGATGGGGTGATTTGAAATGAAAATCAGATCAAAAACATAAGCTGGCAACAGTGATGACTAAAGTAAACTATATCCTGTCAAGGATTGCTTTGAGTGTGTGACAAAATTTAGGAAGTATCAAACAATTCCAAAGTTCAGAAATGGTAAAAATGTAGTCCAAGTAAAATATTACTTTGTAAACACACATAGTTAATTTGACATTTATCACCTTTTATGAACATTGGTCGTCTGCCCCTCATGGACCAACACAAATGTGTTTTCTGTTTGATTTCTTGTGTTTGAAGTGTTTGAGTCTCTGATCTTTGTTGGCGAATTCAATGGTTGTATAAAGTCCTTCAAGATGATATAGGGCGCTACAAGAATTGAATAGTTAATCTAAAATAAATAACATTTAAAATAACTTTGAGAACGCTGCTCTATTTGACTGCGTCAGCAAAAATACTGTGAAAGGCGCTAAACAAATAAACTTTACTTACTTACATGATTGTGTAGCCCTTTAGTGAATATTGATTTCTAGCATAACTCCCAATCAAACATTCAAAAACCTTATTATATCACTTTTTTTTTTTTGCGTCCAGGGTGGAGGGACGGAGAGGGACTTCATCTGCACCCAGGGCCCTCTGCCTCACACTGTGGCCGACTTCTGGAGGATGGTGTGGGAGCAGAACGTCCAGATCATCGTGATGGTCACAGCTCTGAGACACAAGGACATAGTGAGTGTCATTCTTGTACCGCACTGTGACGCTAATAATTTACATATTTATCACTGAAGTCCTTCACAGATTCTCCCACTCTCTGCACTCTTTTTCAATTTTCACCTAAAAATAAATACTTCTCCTGGGCCGTGTTGGGAGAATACTTATAGCGGCAACTGCAAAAAGTGGAACTGTATTTTAAAACTGTCTAACTTCTACTTCCTCGCTCTGACAATCTCTGTGGATCATGCCTGGTCTAACGTGCATGATTGTTTCTCCTCTGCTTTATAACAGTTTTATCATACAGAAAAATCATGGTTTTCCACCCTCGCTCTGCCAATCAGCCCAAAGCATCAGTGTGGCTCACATTCTCATTCCTTTCTGTGTGGAATTTATTCATTTTATTTATTTGAGCAATTTTTACAAATATAGTTTGCATCATTAAATGATTACATTGTTATAGTTTGCATGTTTCTCTATGTTTCTGGAGTGGGTTTCCTCCAGGCGCTCCGGTTTCCAACACCACCACCCAAAACAATCCAAGTCCTTCTTGGCATTCTGCTGCTGACTGGAATTGCGCTGGTGACATTAAGGCATGGGTCTTTGCTCGTTCATGACAAAGACACAGAAAACTTAACTGTTGTGATGTGAGAAATACTGGAGTAAATATGTTCCTTTTAATAAAAAGGTTCAGGGACCATAGACACATTGACAAGCTTACATTTTTCTGACTGGGAAATCGAAATGTATGAGTTTGAGATCTCATGAAAGCAGCATGAGACAGGAGCCTTTAGACAGAAGGAGTAACTATTCTGAATACTGAATAAGGATTAAAACAGGTTTATGTTTGTTGAACTAAAACTTATTCATTGATCCGAAAATAATTGATGCGTTT